TGCTTATACTAGATTACTATAGAACCTTTTTAGTAGGTATAAATTGCGTACTTATAAGCCTATTGTTCTTTTTTCCTCTTTAGGCCCTTTAACCTTAGTGCGAGCTATAATTACGGTATTAGTATTTATATCCCCTATGTTACTAAGCGTTATTATTAGCTAAGGGACCTTCCCTTATTAATTATAAAGGAAAGCTTACTTATTTAGGGCTTATACCGCTCTTTATTTATTTAATATTATATATCCTTTTAAGGTTAACGGGGCAAAGAAAGAATAGGTAATATTATTAATTTTATCGAAGTTAAGGTCTTAAATATATAAGGTAAGATCTTTTTCGCTTTTAAATAACTCGATTACGTTTATTAAATGGTCCTTATAGATTATTAGGAATTAATTAAATCGATTATAGCCCGTCTTGCCTTATATGCCCTTTACTTTTCTATATTAGTCGTACGACTTAACGCGTTCTTTATTAAAGTGGTTATTTAATTAATAACCCTCTTTTTTATATATAAAGTATTTCTCTTTTTATAGTACTTGGTTGGTGTTGGACTAGTGCCCCTTTAAGGAGTTTATTCCTCCCCCTTAGCGGTTATTATACCTTATCTTTCTTTTTTTATTATTATATATGCGGTCTACTTAGTGCTGTTAGTGAGGGCCTTTATGAGATTGGAGGTAAGTTTGATTTAGTATCCTAGCTTTAATATTAAAGCTGGACCTTAGCCTTAAGTATAGCGTCTTATAGTCCTTAGGTGGTTGATGTAGAATTATTTTTGCCTCTAGTACCCTTTATACTGCTGTATATAGATAACCGACCTTTTACTTATTAGTCCCTTTATTTGGCTGTGTCTTTGTTAGTTTATTGATCTTATTAATAAGCTCCTCGAGGATCTTAATTTTCGATTTTCCTTTTATTGTTCTAGCTATAGAGCTAAATGATAATACCCTTAGCTCCGAGAGGAGCTCGAGGCTCCTATTTTAGGTCTCGAATCGATTTTGGATTATATTAACGATGTTAAGAAAGTCGGTTTGATTGATATTATGTACCGCTTAATAGTAATATTCGGTAGCTTTCCCTATTAGTATAATATTGATTACTAAATAATATTAGTATTCTCGGATACCGACTTTTTTATAATAGTTATAGAATATCGTAAGGGTTTTTTATAGGACCTTATATCTCCCCCTTAAGTATAATTTCTTTTTTAGAAAGATCTTTTTTAGGTTAGTGAACTGTTTTATATTGGTTACTATTAAATCGTTCTCTTTACATACTTCTTATGCGGTAGTATAATTGGGTAGTATTTATATTATCGATTTTGTATTTTGTTAGGTACTTGGGATTAATCTTCGGATTGGTATTGTCGTTAGGGTCGTTATTACGATAGGCGGAATCGTTATTTAATACGCTTCCGGTGTGATCCCCTTTGTTTATGCTAGATTAGGTATTGCGATATTATTGTTAGTGATCTTTAATAAAAAGTCCGGTTAGTTTACTTGTTTATTAAATTCTTTATATTTTAATATTACTTTCTTAAACTAAGAGACGGCTAATTTGCCGCCGTTTTTGGCAGCTTCTGCCGCCAAATCCAGCGGGCCATCTGCCATGAATCAGTCGCCGCTTTACACTTAGGCACCACGCCCACCAAGCGGCCCTCACCCTTTCTCATTCTGAGCATGTACCCCCAGAGTACCTACCATGGTATCTCAGCCACACTACCGTCCTGAACAGTCCACGCGGCTACGGCCAGTGTGTCGAGTCTTGACTTCCCAGTCCTTCTTTGCGTATCGGTTTCCAACAGCCAAATGTGGCCGCCAGAATGGGCCCTTGCTATGGCTCACCCTTTGGACTATTTAATCCACGGGCGCTGCACTGCCTGGTGAGCCGATTCCTCGATCCATCAGCTCTCAAAGCCAGAGCATTACGAGTTGTTCGATCATCCCCTCCAGACCGCCGCTTCACTTCCCACTATGGCGAAGCGCCGACGTACGAACGTGGACAATTACGATTCCGATGCATCATTCGCTGCCGAAAGTGAAATCGACGACTACGACGACGACGACGTCTTCGAGACGAAGGATGAAAAAGGCGACTCGAGCACTGACGCAACCGATATCGACGATCTCTGCGATGACGATGTGGATGTCGAAGACCAAATAAGGCTCTTTGATGGCAATATTCAGTCATCCGAGTATTGGCGACGCAAGGTCGAGGTGTTCAATGAGGACCCCTTCGCCTGCCAGGATTATAGCCCTGGGACGACGGTGCTTCTCGACGCCGTGGAGGAACAGTGGCGGCAGTACGTGCTCGCAGACTTCGTACGTCATCAACCTACTGATGCTATTCGTTCATAGGTTCTGTTGCGTTCTCAAACGCGATCCAAAAGACTGCTATGCAAAGATCTCGCTCGGCCTCATGTACAATTTCTTTGACTGGGTAATGAGCCAGAAGGTTGGCAAGAATGGCAGGAAGAAACGCGGAATCAAGAAGAAGAGCTCTTTGGGCACATACTGGAAGGTCTTTCGACTCGTTTTCGAGAGAGCCGTGGGCGAAAAGATCAACCAGAAGCTGAACCGCAGCATGCACAGAGCAGGTTTCTTCCACAGCGACACAAGTGCATGTACTGACTGCTCTAGGTTCTACGAGATTTAGGAAAGAAACACCGGCTGAGCGAGCAGCGGCGAGCTAATCGTTGTATGACGATTGACGATCTCAAGCAGCAGATCGAGACGACGCTAAGCACGACGAAGAAGTCGTTCAAGCTTGGAGAGCTGCGCATCCTCGCCGTGCTGTTTCTCCTCCTGCTTGCCCCGGCTGGCTCTCGCCCAGAAGCGACTTTGAACCTGCGGTTCAAGGACATCAGGGTCGTTCTGGCCAGAGACCCAGAAGGCGGACCACACAAACTTCTCCTTCGCTTTACTCCGGAGTTCACCAAAAGCTATCTTGGCGAGAAGGAACAGTGAGTTGTCCCAGTCTGCTGCAGCCTATAAACCTTACTTACATTATAGGAAAACATACTCCATCCCCGAGACGATGTTCGACCCGTCCTTGCTCCTGAGCCCCCATGTATTCCTCCTAGGCATCCTCTTCCGACATCAAGCTTTCAATGCATCCAGCCTCACCTCGCCGCACCATCTTGATAACCTCGACATACATCCTGGCGAGAGGGAGCTGCCACTGCCGTTGAGAGAGGACCTGAACGATACCTTCATATTTCGTCGGGCCATCGAGACATTTATGGGCTATCAAATTTCCACCAACGATCGTATCACCTCTGGCATGATGGCGGCGTGGATTCAGAGAATCGGCGAAATACTCGGCTTCGAGTACCCTACGATAGCGTACAACCTGCGCTATAATGCTGCCAACGCGTTCGACCAGAGCGGTTTGTCTTCTTTATAGCTTAGTAGCCGGTCATGCTAACTCGCAACGCAGTTGACGTCAGCGAAGCCCTCCGGAATCTGGCTCTAGGACATGGCAACTCGGATCCTTTCCAGAGACACTACCTCGGACGGAACATTTCGGCCGACCTTTGGGGCGTCCTCCGAGGGCAGAAGCCACAGCAGGCGCTCATGAAGCAGTCTTGCAGCATAGGTCACTCCATATCCGAGCGTCGCCCCACCGGCCTCACAACAGAGCAGTCTGCATCGGTCGCCACGCATCCGACTATCAGGGAGCTGACAAAAGCCCTTCGAGAACTGCCGCAAGGCTCCAAACAGTACAACCAAGTCAAGCGAGCGAGGCGGAACGAAAAGCAGAGGCTTCGGAGAGAACTCAAACAGAGAATCAGAGACGAGTGGACTGACAAGCAAGCCACAGACGACATCGAGCGTCAAATACACGGCATCGGATTTGCCAACCCTGCGACGGACAACACCTGTCGGCCTCAGGGCTCAGCACAAAGGCACCTGATGAAGAAACTCACTGCCCCGATCGTGACTACGCTCGAAGGTCAATATCGAAGGAGGGATGAAGCCATCGAGGCTGTTTCCACATATTGCCTTGTCCAGGAAGGATGCACTGTGCCCCAGTCTCGCCCTCGGTCGACACCAGAGGCCGCCGTTTATTGCTCTACTTCTAATCCGCCTGAAGGTGGCTACTTGGACCTCGCCATACGATCTGTTTTCATCACTAACGATAAGGAGCGGCCCAAGAGATGCTTTATCTGTGTCGGACAGGCCTTGAATTTAACTCCGGATGACCAGGGTCGGTTGGACGAACTCACCCATGAGTTCTACACCTCTAATGACTTGACGAAACACTTCCGAAAGAAGCATTTGTCCAAGGTTGCGGACGGTGAGAGACCTGAGTGCAAGGTTTGCAGAATGACGCTCGAACACAAGATGCACCTCCAAAATCACGCCATGAGGATACACGGCACAGTGTCTTGATCACTCATGATGCGAGGCACAAGGTTCTGGAGGGCAAATCGAAGGTGTCGAGATCCCCAATCAGGCGTACTTCCGGTCTCGTACACACAGGCTATAAATGACTCTCTGGTTACTTGCCTTGTTCCGACTTTTTATTACGAGGAATGCTGATTGACGGGGCTTACCTGATGGTCACAGTACGCGCACGCGCGTGACAAGTGGAGAAGGGCATATGCACAGTCGCCCGACTACTAAGCATGTTAAGCAGAGGTTTGCTAATAGATCATTCAGCTTCACGGTTTGTAAATTGATAAATAGACAACAAATGACTTCACTTTGATTTGGACTCCAGGACAGCCATGTGTCTCACACCGTAACCGTGAACGACATACTCCCCGTGGGCATCCGGACGTTTCTGATATAGCGGGTACAATCATAACCTGACCTGACCACGACCATGACGAAACCCCGAATGCAGCCCTTGAGCGCCCTGATGAACTACCGCCTCTTCCTCAGACTCAGACGGACCTCATGGGAGACCGCCCGCCAAACTCAAGAAGAACAGCATCACAAAGTCTGAGGGATGGAAGTTGAGCGGGGAACCGGGGCCACCACACATCATAGTTCATTGTGCATTGCATCTCAAGATTCGCATTTTCGTCTGGGCACGGACTCTATCTACTTATGGGTCTCTAATTGAGGACAATCAGTCTCCGTCTCTTCTGGTGAAGCCAATGCCAATCCACCTCCTCGTGCAGAAACTTGAAGTAACCCAGTCTCCTCGACGTACTACTGCCGTCACATGTGAGGACGATCCCATAGGATTGGCCAAGGTCAATATTCGATCGGATTTCCAGACACCTCATCCTTTGCCGCTTTGGCTGCAAGGGCTCGTCCCAAACCACTTCTATTGGCAATGGAGGAAATCGTTCCCCTTGATGACATTTGGTACCTGTCTGGGGTGTGCTAGAGGGTGATCGACTTCTCCGTCTGGCAGCTGGTCTCAAGGCCACACGCGCTGCTCTGTTTGCCTCATCACGAGACTTGGCTAGGACCATTGCCCAACCATCCCAGAGAACGTCCAAGACGTGTCCCTTTACAACCAACTTCCTCATTTCGATACATCTAATAACTTCCAGGGTATAATCATTCCATTTGAGCTCGTTGGCATCGAGCCAGGTGACTGGTGATCGTATCTTAGCCCACGACCATGACGGTGTCGGTGTCATGTCTGAAGGACTGCTAGTTGTAGCCTTCTCCTGACGGTGGCAATCGCGGCACCATAACAGTTCTCTCGGCATGTCGGTCATCCATAATCCAGCTTTGCACTGTGACGGATCCCAGCCCGTGGCCTTCGCCATGGCTATGATGGCTATACATCCAAAGGCAGCCAACTTGTCAGCTAATCTCCCAGTCTGACGTGCAGAATAACTGATGACTTGTTGTCGCCAATTTGCGATATGCGGCTCAGGGTCATTTACTCCAGTGTTTCGGGTGGCGAACCTCGAACCATCAAATGTGGAAGTGCTGGGGTGGATCTCATCTGAGGTTGACAACTCATCAACGTCGCTATCTGCGAAGTTCGTTTCCCGGCATTTGAACACGACTCGTTCAGACTCGAATCGCAAAATACATAACGCGCTCTTGGCTTCTGGGAACGTCCACCCCCTTTCGTCAATCGGCTCTGGCTTTTTCTCGAACCCTCGTTCTAGCAGTCTAAGGCGGTGATCTGATGCCTTGTCTCCATCTTTCACAGCAACAGGGAGCTCATACTCATGATACGGCAGATCTCGAGGTGCTAAGAACCCGGCATTACTGTGCGGCGCAGAGGCGGCCCCTATAACAATGTTCGCCCGAGCATAGAACTCGAGCGCGATGTTGACCTCGTTCTTAATGATCTCGTCATCTTGGTCCTGAAGAATACAGAGTGCATCCACCCAAAGATGTTGTAAGCCCAGAGCTAGAGTAACCTCTATGGCATCTCGAATTGTCTTGGGAAGATCCTTGAGAGGAAATCCAGCCAGGCGATATTGCAAGTTCGTTGATGTTGTTGTGCAGTCTGGCGGCGGTTGACCCCAGCAATAAGTCAAGATAGTGAAGTCGATATTCTTTCCCGGCTCTATCAACCGAATTTGCCCATCACCGCAGGAGCCCAGATCGAGCACGTAACTCGGCTGCCTGAGAGATTGCATCTGCTGCCTGTATTTGTTGCATCGAGCATGGTTCTTTTGACACACTTCCAGACAGCTGCGTATCCACTGTATATTGTTCTCTGAAAGTGAATCTTGATTCGGCGGTCGAGTTCGGACAATATCCTTCATGCCTTCTCGTTCCATCGCGTCAGCGGGCTATTCAGTAAGGGGCGATAATATACTTACCTGTCTTTGCGATCGCGAGAAGGCTGTCTTCAGTTTTGGGATCCCAGGGCTCATCAAGAAACCGCCAATCGCAATCGACCATAACGTGCCCTCGATGAAGGGAAATCGTAATACACAGCGATCCTTCTATCCAGTCATCTAGATCCCACGGTAAAGATTTGTCGCGGTGGTTCGTCCGTGATAAATATGACCGGAGGCGTCCCAAGCGCTTTTGGAAGAAAACGCATCCTTTAATGGCGGACTTTACCACTTGGAGCAATGGCAAGGTGATCCGCGTATCACACGCCGGGTTCATTTTTAGCTCCAATCGAGGGCACATAGCACAAGAATGAAGCTGTAGCTGAGAAGAATCCATCGCAGAATGGTGGCTTAGGTTTAGCAAAACGGCCTTTACGATGAGAATAATCGAGATTGCTACGTCAATTATGAGTGCTGGTTGGATGACTTGAGGTAGACAAAGAGAAGGGGAATCGCAGACTCCTTCGACGCGACAAGACGCGAGGTGAATTCTAGGCAACAGCCTGCTGGGCTGAGGAATACCGGATCATAGAACCTCCGTGCCAGCAGAACAATGTCCGAGGCAACGACCTGACTTTTTCGCTTGTCCAGTCGAGCGACACTTTGCTTACGACGACGTGAAGATGTACCTATTTACTTGGCCAAGACTTAGCAAACCCCCTGTCTCCAAAAGAAAACGTCTTTGCAGTAACTTGCTGGGGGCTGGCGTCAGTTACCAGTGCCCGCTGCGAGAACAGCAGCCTCTTAGCAGTAACTTGCCAGAGCTTGCCGCCGGTGACTGGTACACGCTGCCGAAGCATTTAACTAAGAGGGGCCAGAGGCACCCACGCCGGCGGCCCTACTGCTAGAAGGTCCGGTTCCTGACTGCCCTGTCAGTCGCGATGATCCCCGTTAGCCCGGTTACTGGGAAGCTCACCAGGGCGCTGAGCTCCTCATCGTACCGGACAGTAACTGCTGGGGGTTGGGCATCAGTTACCAGCAGCCCGCCCCAAATGCCGCGAGCTCTTAGCAGTAGCTTGCTAGGACTTGCCGCCCACGACTGGAAAGTGTAGGAACGCCAAGGCTTCCGAGCCCCACGGCAAAAGGAGAGACTAAGGGTGGGGGGCAGAGGGTTTGCTACCTAGTTGGGCGGCTCAGGGCAGGCGGGGCGGTGACTCACCCTGTGGGCTGTCAGGGTAGTCAAAATGTGAGCCCCTCGAATAGCAACGCCAGAATACGCGCTGCGCGGACCGGCGAGACGCCAGCCTTGGTAGGTATGCCACTACCCAGCTCCTAGCCACCTAGGCTGTGCGGCCCGTGGGCTAGGGATGCAGGGGTTCTGGGTGCGCGCGCTTTGCGGAGTGGTGGCCACCGTAGCCTGTGAGCAGGCCGTAAGCCGAAATGCAAACGGCGCGATGCCCCGGATTTCGGAATTTAATACTCAAATCCAGTTTCTTCGTGGATGACGTCTCGTCATGAAGTATATCTATCCCACACAAACAACATTGCATGCTGCCAAGTCCGCATTAACGCGACCATGGACGCCCCTAAACCTGACTTAATTACGCGAAGAAAGCGGGATAGAACGAATGAGAACTTCGAGAAAGCAAGAGAGAACATGATGTGGCGGTGCGACGAAATAAGCCGCCGCTACCAGTCAGACGTCTACATTGTGTTGCGAAGAAGACACAAGCACTACGAATACAGCTCTACCAATGACCCGGCGTGGCCGATATCCAGAGCTGACATGGTTGGTATCTTTCTCGCTTCCTTGTGCATCGCTAATGCCCCTTAAGGAGAAAGTATATCCCTTGCCCATGAGGAAGACAGCAGCCAGTTTTACCCGTCGCAGAAGCGTAGTAAATGGTCATCGCCAAAACTGACACACGTCACTAACTTGGCGTGTTCTTTGATACTCATATCTGCCTCCACGAGCTTGAAGCAGTCTCCATTGCGTCGTGGTGTCGCCCACACGTGGCGGGGTACATGCGCTTTCCTTGTCGGACCCATGACAAGACCAAGGTTCAGGACTGGTGCTAGAACGAGAGTCAAGGCTGGTGGTGCTAAATCGGGAGCCAGGACTGTGTTGCAGAGCAGGACCAAACTAGAGATGAACCTCGGCCCAGTAGTTGAAAATACAGTACAAGAAATAGAACGAGACTTGCTTCTTCAGTCTGTCCTAAACTATGCATAAAGACGAGGGCTCCCAACAGGTTCACGGGTCCGTACACTTCACGGGTCTCCCATTAGTCAGCAACATCCACTGTATTTTGCCGTACCCGTTAACCAAATGGGGGCCGGATACCCATGGAATTTTACGTGCACGGGTACCCGTGAGCCTGTTGGGACCCAGGGGCGAGCCTCGGATTAGTAAGCCTAAGGAGCGCCTCTCCAAGCCGCTTGCTCAGAAGCTTCGGATGCGTAGCAATCAATGAGAAAGTGACAAGCACCAAGAAGGATTGAGCATTCTTGGGTTCGGGGAATGTGGAATAACCCCCGATTGGTGCATCGGGATGCCTTGTCGAACTGGGCTTACCGTCCATATGGCTTCATTCTCGTATGAAGCGCGGCAGTTGTGTTAATGTTGTGCTTCATGGGTCTGTTGTGTTTGTGACGCACCCCAAAACCCTGCATGAAGTTGCGCTCGTTATCATAACGTCGGCTTAACATCCGTTCAAACGACGCCAATCTCGTCATGTTTACTTATCTGCATGCTCACACTCCTACTGTACCAGGGCCCGTGCAACTAGCACTGGTTCTGAGGAGCAGCTCTGGCCGCGTTACCTTCCATAGCACCGCGTACCACGCCTTTGAGTTGGCGGGTGCCAAGACTGGTAGTCCGTGTGAGAGCCAGCGTCGTTCGCAGTGTAGCGCGACTCCTTGCAAAACGAACACAGCAGTCTTCACATTTCACTACAGTATACAGTATACAGACTGCAACATACTGAGATGGATTATAGCCTGCTATTCGAGCCAAAGGTGGATTCTTTGAAGTAGACCCTACAGCGGTTCGCTTTTCGCACTGTAGCATGCCATCCTGTCTCCATATTTTGTGTGCAAGCTGAAGGTATCAGCCATTACCAGATGTTTGAAAAGGAGCGAATGTACAGTATGACGTGGGCACAATACGTCCAAACTTCTCTACCGTTGTCCGCTGACGTCCCAGGGGCGTCCCCAGTGCGTCCAAGCTTGTCTACCGTTGTCCACTGACGTCCCAGGAGCGTCCCCAGTACGTCCGAACTTATCAACCGTTGTCCGCTGACGTCCCAGGGGCGTCCCTAGTACGTCCGAACTTGTCAACCATTGTCCGCTGACATCCCAGGGACGTCCCCAGTGCCTCGGTTGATGGCATTCGTAGAAAAGACAAGAATTGCTTTTACGCTGTGTCCGTTGTTCGGATCCAAGTTGCATGATCCAACATCCACAAACGCCGGCGATGAATGGAGTGCTGGTTAATGACTCTGGACGAAAAGTGATCAACAAGCGGACGTAGAGAATCAAGTTGCGTCTGCATTCAAGTGGCCGTCACCATCGATAGTGAACGTGTAATTATGGGAGAGTTATGGCATTCTAGATCTACAAACATCACGCCTCGCGACGAAGAGGAAGAGGAAAGAGAAATCGCACTGTGAAGGCGACGCATTCCCCGCAGAGAAGGGAGTCATGGCGACCCGCCAAAGCGTCGTTCGTACATAGTGGGATGCACTTCATTGCGGGTTGCAGAAACCAGTCTTAACCCTTCGCCACATCATCTCACTGTTCGTGCAGTCTAATTGACGAATTGTGCTGAGATCCGAACTTGCACATTTTATTGGATTCAAGACGTAAGTCAATCATCGCGACCTGTGTGACAGCGCCAATTCCTCCAGATCTATTGGCCATGCACAATGGCTCAAACACCCAGTATACGCTCGCCGATCGCTGCCCTTCAGTTGGAGTCTAGCCCCAGGGGAAGTCAGTCGCACTGGTTGTCATGACTCAGCAAAACGCTCTGCAGAAATTCGATGGCATCGTCGTCGCCATCCTCTATCAATCGTATGGCGTTGGCCAACCAGTCAGCCTCGGCCTGCCTTGCGTCAGCTTCGGCTTGTTTTGCGCGTCGCTTTGCTTCCAGTCTGTCCTGCGTTTCCTGAGAGAGCAAGAGCCAGTCGAATGCCCTAAGAACCTTCTGCTGCATCTCCGACGATAGAGCCTCGAACTGCTCATGATCGGTGAACAGGATAGACCGAATTGCTTCATGCTGCGTCTCGTGTGACGAAGCCTCAGATGACGCACGACCAGTTTGCTGCTTATGTTAGCGATGTAGGCAAGAGAAGGGGCAATGCTTACCCCAGGAGGGCTCGAGCCAGATGGTGGAGCTGAGTGGGGTGCGGCTGCGGACCCATCCGATGACGAAGAGCGCTCGGGTTCATCCGGCAGCGAGTGGTTCGGCGTTGACATCGTGAGAGATAATGGTAGATGGAGAATGGTGCTTCTTTTTTGTCCTCTGGTTTGTCTTCGGAGTCATGCTAGGGAGGCTCTGGTGCTCCTTATAATTTTTTTTCCCTTTGGCTGTCATTTGACGCTCGCATAGCTGCGAACTACGACGCGCGAAGGCCACTCGTTACATTGATTGCTAATCCTTGAGTGTTGGTTATGTTTCTCTTGTATTGTGTTGCAGATATGTTATATAACATAGTTAGGTAGTTATGTCAAAGCCTGTCCATCTAACACACTATACCGAATGCGCAAAGGAGCTCGTTGGCCGGCGCAGGATTGTGCTGGACTTTCCGCGACCAAGCCGGCATGCGGACCCCTCGACACGCAGTAGACTGGGTAAACGCATGGGTCAACAGGCGGGGCGATTCCAGGGTTCTTTTATCTCCAGCCTCCCCCAACGCGTTCGGTTGACTCGGTACGCTCCCCTGGCGCAGCTCCTTCGCTTTCCAGAAAACAATAATGCATCGCCTTCCGGGATTGCATCAGAGACCCGCGCCACCGCCCAAACACTTGTCGACAAGAAGTCGAAAAAGTATCGGGCTGCTGCGTCAGGCGGTCAGAAATAGATGGAAGATTCTCATCTCGTAAGTCGCTCCCCACGCTGCTTGGTTCGGTGGTGACCTGACTCTTCAACTTTCGCAAGCCTGCAAGAACGAGCCGAGCTTGTCCGGATCCCTAACGTCGCGGCCACGAACGAGACAAAAACAGCCGAGTATTCCTCTTCCCCTTCTTTTGGGAACCATAGCTCGGGCGATACATTCCACTTCAAACATGCAGATACTCCCATGCGCCACGCGGCCGCGTCTGCCGACCACCAACGTATCGATGTTGTTCAATTGATAGGACACAGAGTGTCACGACGCGATCGGTCACGAATAGAGCTCTGCGTTCTTCGGCCAAACCATGCGAAGTCGTGGCGGCCGGAGCGAGAAGTACAGATTAACGCCCCGGACGAATGGTTGGCGTATACATCGAGTGTTGAGCATCGTGCGTGCTTGGGAGAACATCAGCGTGATAAGTGGCACATTCTGGCAATCCACTCGCACTGGATTGTCCTAGCAATGAAGGGTAAACGTAAGTATCGTAAAGTTATGTTTCGGGTATCATGGGAGGGTAGCCTAGAAAGGACAAGTATCACCGAAAGGTCTGCGCGGCTGCGTAGTTCAGCGATGGTCGCCGAATACTGGCGTCACTGGGGTGGTAGAGATACCGCACTACTTGATGCTGACATCAGAGAGGCTTGAAAGAGTGTACGGATTCGTCGACGGGCCGTACGGTCGGTACGCCCTTTGCTACTGGCCGTCGCGGGGCTCGGCGCTTCTCGTTCAAACACGCACTCTTGACCGGTGATGCTCATCGCCGGCTTCCTCACAATTTGTGTCAGTCAGATGTCACTTCCTTCCGTCACGCCAGACGAGGTAACGCATCTCTATTAGTGGCGGATTGGCGAGCGGATTGCCAAATTGACCGTCACATCGATGTGAGGGATTACCGATACATCTGTGATGACGGCCGCTGCTGAGAGGTAATGAGATTCACAATGAACAAACGTACGGCTGCAGTACATACTACTGTGGAACAAAGAAGCAATGGTATGTGTTCATAGCTCGCGTGTTACTGCCGTGTTTAATTTCGCAAAGCGAAGCACCATTGTCTGCACCGTTGGGCTAATCCCAGCGCTGAGACCTCCTCGCCTTCTCTGCTGATGCTGACGCCGTGGGGAGGCGTCTGGGTAGGTGGCAGTGGTTCGCTCGAATTGCCCGGTTCTTCGTGGTGGTTGGCGGTCGCTGGAACAGGATCGGGAATGGATTACACTCAAGCTCTGAGGCCAGGGTTCGACACCCGAGACCACACTAGTCACAGATGAACTGCGTCGATCTGGCGTACTCGTGCATACTTGTTTTGCAGTATCCCGCGCTGGTTAAAGGCTTTTTGAGCAAGGTTTTGAATGCTTTCGGTGATGGTTGGGGTATCATAGTCTAAGATGTAGCCTTAAAAGATGCATTTCAAAAGACATATTTAAGAGATGTATTTGAGAGATGCATTGGGGAGATGCATTGGGGAGATGCCATTGAGAGATGCATTTGGGGGATGCCTTTGGGGGATGCCTTTGGGGGATGCCTTTGGGGGATGCCTTTGGGGGATGCCTTTGGGGGATGCCTTTGGGGGATGCCTTTGGGGGATGCCTTTGGGGGATGCCTTTGGGGGATGCCTTTGGGGGATGCCTTTGGGGGATGCCTTTGGGGGATGCCTTTGAGAGATGCCTTTGGGGGATGCCTTTGAGAGATGCATGTCGGCTTTGAAGCTTCAGAGTAGTAAGTAGAAGAGGGCGGGGCAACTTGTAAGCACGACTATATACATACCAGCAAATTTGCGTCTCGCCTAAATTTTAGCGCGATTCCAAAGGGAGGCGGTTCGAATCTGCTCACAGTCGACGTTTTTCTGCGCTTATGTAACTAGCGACTACGTAAGCACGGAAATACATACCCCGTGACCCCCTCGGCAGGGGGCGGCTGCACACGGTCAATTAAAAAGTGACGTCAGTCCATCACTTCAAAGAGATCACGATATCCTACCTTGGCGCATCGGAAAACTACGCTGCGAGGCAATCGCGTTTGCAAGAGTCTTTTGGGTTCGTCTGCGCCTGCGAACTGTGTACACTTCCAGCACACAACGAACGTCAAGCGATTGCCGTCTCAATAGGATCAAGTACCTTGACGACCAGATCGGAGATGGCATACGTATTGTTTCGACTCCCTTCGCATGCCTTCGGATGGCGCACAAGATGAAGCTCCTCATGGAAGAGAAGGGCATTGCCGATGCAAGAATCCCGCGACTCTATTATGATGCATTCCAGATCGTAATTGCCAAAGGTGACGAAGCAAGAGCGAATGTTTTCGCTGAGCGCGCTTCTGTCGAGAGGCCCATCATGGAGGGAAGCGACAGCGCGGTAGTGCACAGACTAAACAAGTACGCTACGAATCCATCGAGCCACGTCCTGCACGGTACGTCGAAGCAATGGCGACAGGGTGTCAATAAAATACCACAAGGTTTGAATGAGCAAGATTTCGAAAAATGGCTTTGGAGATTGCCGACCTGATGCTACAGAAACCCCCCAATTTAGCCTTCTTTGCGGAAAGGATGCCAGCTACATCAGGCGATCAGATTTAGAGCACTCATACGGTCACTGGCTAGAGGTTGAGCTGCTGCCGCGCATTGTTACCACATTGTTACCCCGCTGGTGCCCCGTCGGTGTATCATTAGCGCCCCCCTGGTTTTTCTCCAACATGCTAGTTTGCGGCTTGATTGAGAAGGCCTAGGGAGCAAGGCACAAACCAGTTGATTTGAACATCCAAGTTATTTGATGCATTTCCTCGTTTGCTTCGCCCCATATATAATCTTGCGAAACTCTTGCTGCATTGGCATTGGACCCTAGCACCGTCACTGCTGTCCTGGCGGGGTGCATCGTAGGTAACCAGTAAATTAAAAGTTGGCTTGGCGCACCGACGCGTCCTGTCTTTCATCAGGTTGGGACCAGGTGTCTGCACTACCCCGCCCTCAATCAACTCTTATTTAATATGTGTTCGCCTGAGGCATCCAGTAGCAGGGAGCCAAAGGCTTGTCGTCGATTTCGCGTCTACATCTCCATCAAAGAACGGATACTCGCCTTTAAGGCTTAACCGCGCGAAGCTGGTTCCCCATATCTGAACTTCCTAATTCATCAGCTGAGCTTCTTCAGCCAATTCGAAAGCTGACGCGACGATACCAAAAGATGAATAAACCAAATCCGACGCCTCTGACAACGGTTGGATGCCAGCCGACCAAGGAACGAGTTGACGACGATGTGATTTATCTAGGTACCTACAAAGGTGAGTAGCATCTCGCGAATGGGGGATTCGACTAATAAGGACTCAGTGAAGGACTCTCATCTGACCGCAGATCCCTCCCAAAGCAAAAGCGGACGATACAGCAGACGACCTCGAGACGAAATAATATCAACTCGGTCAGGGCGCCGGAAGAGCCATCAGAAGACAACCACTTCAACCTCCACACTAGAAATACCTGCCGAGATAACCTACAAGCATGTAAAACTGGGGGTGCTGAAGGACTCGTCTCAGCCACGTCGAGCTGTATATGGAATCTTTGACCATGCAGGGAGGCTTCGCCATCGCATTGAGAGCAGACAACGCACAGTTGTAGCGGATCTTGATCCTTGCTTGAAACCCGCTCGTATCAGCCATCATCAGATAGAATACCGCCCATGCTTCCGAGGATTATCACTTCGACAAGTTCGAAAAGAGTTGCGCCGCCACATAGTAAGAAAGCTTTATGCGCATACACTCGATGGAGAAATATAGCAAAACGAAGCATTTGGATTTACTCGAGGAAAGGGGGACCAACAAGGCATCAACCCAGTCCTATCAGACGGCGGCGCTTAGCCAGCACGCGGAACGTTTTGTCATTGGACGGACATAAGCGCCGTGAGGGATAAGTCAGACGAGAAAACGAGGCGTAAGGCTATTATTGGCATTGGGTTTCATCTGGATTCGGCGTTTCTATATATTGTCTCGGTGCCTCATGGTACGGCATCAGAGCCTCTCTCGTCCATAGACGGAGAATCCGTGCCTCCTCCTGTGAGAGATGCTCATAGTCTGCGAAGCCGCCACAGCCATGTCGTCAAAGAAGGAATGCGATAACTTGATAGACAGCCTGACTACTGTTCCTCTCCTTCACAAGCGCGTCAAGGAGTTGCTAGATCACTCGCAGCAACCGTTAGATGATGCGATCCTTTGCTCCCTATCCAGAATCAGGGCCGAAGTCGAGTTTCTTGACGATACCATTGCGCAACTTTTCAGTTGTCTCGGTGAGCATGGCCGACTTTGAAGTTCTAGGCCGATCTATATGTTCTAACCGGCACCAATGTTCCCTTTAGGACCCGACACTGGCAAGCCGGGCACCGCGGAAGCAGACGTTCTGTCCGTCCGCTTGTCGCCTACTTCCTCTACCGTCACTGGCAGGGAAGAAGCGTCCGATGTGCCTCTGAATTCGACACTGACCGCAGAGAACATCGCAAATCTGACCCGAAATGATCGTGCCGCTGGAAGACAATACCGAGCCGACCTGATCCCATCTTTTGAAGTACGGGGGAGCGCCGAGAAATGCGGATTGCCCGGTCCATCGCATGACATCGTGGAGATGCCTACGCGATTCCTCGCATTGACTCGGTCAACCCGTAACGTGTGTTTCGTTGATTTAACAAAAGAACATAGCTCCAGGTATGGCCCCGACCTGGATACCGCGTCTATGGTAGACGTCAGTTCCGATCGCAATCCCGACTTCGCCACCGAGTCGAGACCCAACCGTAAGCCGTCTTCGAAGAGCATCGTGAGATTGATTGATCGAGCAGTCGAGCATGCCCACGTCGGTTGGTTATCGTGCCGAGACCAAGCTCAATTCAGACAAAGGCTTGGTCAATTTTGTCCAGGACGGTATGTTGACGACGTTGTTTTCCTTGCCATGCTTCAATCAGTGTGTTGTACCTCTACACTTCAGATCATAGACCCATTGCTTGTGAGATTCACAGAGCCGTTCTTAACCTCGGGCGCTTTCGTGTTCGCCAAGGGGTTTGACGGGATCGTACTGCCAATCAACGTCAATGCAGCAGATCAGATGTCAGATCACGACAGAAATCATTGGATTCTTGCAATTGTCAACTGGAAAGCGGCGACATTTGACGCCTTTGGAATGCAGCCAACTGCCTTTTCTCGATGGAGCAAAAGGGTCGATGAATACGTCTCAGAACTTCGCGGCGTAGTGATGCGACTCGAGAAGAGATCTCACAAAGTAGGACTCATCTGTTCTGTTCTTGACGTATCATATTTTACTCACATCAGTCAGCTGGGACCGTATGTAGATGACTCATGCTGCGCTTTCCTCTGCACTTACGCTTTTGAGCGCTACCTGGGCAAGGCACCTCGACATCAAAAACGATGGCCCACGGGTCCCGCGTTGCGAGAACACTACTTGCGCAGACTTCTTAACCATTGGCAGCTGCCCGCCGGTCATCCTACGAAAGGGTCGCAGCATTCGGCTTCTGGTAACGGACCAAGGCTTGGACGAGCGCCTCTCTGTTGACAGAGCCAAAGTAGTGGGGGGGCGCTCTATCAGAGGGAGACGCCGCGACACAGTCACGTTGAGAAATCCCCCGAACCCAGCGATCGTAATCTACGTCAGCTTAGCTAAGCATTGCATGATAAGGAGATTGGTGTCGGATTCGACTGTCCAGCCGATCAAATCCCTGCGGGAGTCCTCCACCAGACGGCACCAGATCGTATGGCTCAGAAGGGCTTTCGACAACAGCAGTCCCCGTTGAGGCAGCCAAACAATTCGAAACAGGGCGGCAGAAAGACAACCCGCGAGCAGCCAATCGAAAGCTTTGCCAGGGTTGCTGCACGGAGACCAGTCGTTGACGCCGCAGGGGCTGTTTCATTAGCCGCCGCCCCTTTCAAATTCCTCCAATGTGAAAGAGAGCCGCAGAATATGGTATTCCAAGAATGCGTTTGGGATTTGCAAAGTCTACATTTTGTTTGCAGATTTAGGAAATAACCCTGGATGGGACTGCAGCTTTGAAACAAACTAGACCGTTATCAGCAAGATGTGGTAATAGGACACAAGTACCATGTGACTACTTGTACGTATGCCGGGCAACGCTTGTGTACTTCCGCCCTGTCCCTTCTTTCCAAAACAACCTGGACAATCACTGCAGTACTTTTGCATGTACCTATGTCTGCAACTTTTTCCTTGTACGTACTTCACAGCCCGATTCTAGAATCATCTGATTCCAGAATCACGGTCCTCAGGTTATGTACATTGATTCCAGAATCGTGACGTGTTCCTGTTTTCTCAAAGTTGCAGGTATTCCAGAATCACCCCATTCCAGAATCTCAGTACTTCAGGGATATTCCATCGTTCTGGAATACCTTTCTGTATATTCACGGGCATTCCGGAACCGCAGCATACCCATGGCGTACTTTCTTTCTGGAATTATCGTAATTCTGGAATCGAGGTGGACTCCTGTTTTCTCAATTCTCAATTTCTAATCATTCTAGAATCGAGGTACTTCCGCCATGTACCTCGATTCTAGAATAGCCGTGTTGGGGTAGACCGAACGAGACAAGAGAAGGCAGGAGGCAGAAGTGGGTATGTGAAGTGGGGCAAGGCCCAGGGGACAAGATGCCAGAAAAGACCGAAAGGCGTCCCGATCATATCAGAGAGGCTTAGGCGTTCGCATCTTCGCATCCGCTCGGGGTGTAGCCCAGGGGGCTTGGCCTTAATCGTCAGAACGGTTCACGACCACGTGGTAGCAACTTCTGGATCTTGCCTCCTCAGTACTGCTTAGTGGATGAACCCAGATGCGGATTAAATGAAACGGGCCCAGGTCAGTTCACGGGGGGTTTCTACAGGCTTGGAAATGCCTGGCCTGAATTGGTAAAACGTGCTTTTTGAACATAGACCACTGCACAATCGTACATCTCTATCGCAGCCTCATTTGGTTCCGCCAGACAGGGAATCCACTTCGTGTGCGCACTAACCACCTCCTACACCATATCCCCACACTAAACCTGCAGCCAATGTTGCGAGAACCCCAGAAACGACAGCAGCCCATGGCATCAATGTTCCCAACATGGCCATGCTTGTTAGAGTCGCGAATAGGCCTCCCGCAGGGGTGAAAGCTCCGTACATAGAAGACTGGAAAATGGCAGCGATAGTTCCTTGCGCCACGAAGTTAGCTATCTTGGAGATGGCCAAAAACGTCAACAGCACGGATCGACGTAGCCACCCACCGGCGCCCACTCCGGCTGGGCCAAATCCGAGGCCAAGTATGGCAATGCTCACGACAGTGAATACAATCGCCCATGTCATTACCAACACGATGATCTCTGGACAGTTCCGTTAGCGGAGCCAGAAAAGCTTGCTTTCCTGATGGAACTGAGCAGCGGCCGCTTACGTGGCTGGGACAGCCAAGCCCTCAAGGCGCCCTAGTACTGCTTAAGCCATGAACCTAGGCTTCCTTCATATGCTAGTCCCCTCAACATCGGACTGATGGATAGGCCATCAGCCGCCAAAGAAACAACATTCTCAGCGTATTCGAAAGTGGGGTTGTAAATGATCGAGCCGCTACACCGAGGGGTAGGTACATCATGCGCGAGGTTCGAAGAAAATAGAACAATTATACCAAAATGTTTTTGCACTTTTCAAGTGAAGGATGTGAAGTGCTGATTATCAACATGGCGAAGTCTGACAGAACGATCATCATGGTTCTCAGTATGACCGGCTTGACCCGTTGGGTTGCGACTGGGACTACGTTTCTTGTATTCTGGTGAGAGGATAATGGCGTCTTCGACATCCAATCGCGTGACTACTCGCAGCGCAGACGTATCATCTCAAGCTCGGCAGAAGAAACATGCTACCATGTCTTTACCTCTACCCCGCCCAAGACCCTTCAATTCTGCCTCGTTTCACCGCCCAATAAACCCTTTGCCACGCACAGGCAATCCCAACCAGCTGCGCACCCTTCAAAACAACAGCATCACCTGTTGACTGATTCTCCGTTCACCATTACGTCGCCTGCCAAAATGACACTTGCGTGTTTTATATGCGAAAGAATGCGGACTTCTCGGCCGAACAAACATGGAAATCGTGCCGCGGCCCCCACTCAAATGTGTTCGCTTTGCAATCGGGAGTATTGTAACGAACATCAAGGCCAGGAGGACAACGTTTGCGAGATCAACCACCAGACCTACTTCAATAATCACCGCCAACTGGAAGACATATATCCCACGACGGAGTCGCGACTGAAGGTTGAAGAAGAGAGATCACTGTACGCTCAATAAGCAACCACTACAACCCCTCCTAACAATGCTGCAGACGCCCCAGCTTGACTGAGCAAAATGGTGACGACAACGAGACAGGGCCTAAGTAGCAATAGTCATAATTATGGCAATTTCGTCCCCCGTATTCTTGGGTTCACTCGCTACACACAGGGCCGATTGATCCAGTATCAATCGGGCTAACTACAAAGACGAACTGAGAGGCTTTTGGAATGCGATTGAGGCCTTGATAGGCTGGTGTGACTTCTACGCAACGACCACATCCGTGGCGTAGCGTTGAGCTTGAAGCTACAAATGTACCCGTTGGTCCCGCTAAGAGTCATGTACTTGAGGACTGTATCCGCGATGGCGAGAGCACCATCTCACACCTCGGTGGGTTAAGGAATTACACCGCGATTGAAGGAGTCTTTCGGATTCTCATGCGCCTGCGAACTGTATATACCGGTCCGCTGAGCTGTCATGCCGCCGACCTCGACTCAGTGCACCCTGCCTGTGGAGAACAACCCTGACGAGCGCTGCACCTCTCTGAAGCGCAGATCTTGGCGACTACTGGCAAAGGGGCCCCCTTGAGGCAGAGCCGCGTTATTAGCTACACAAAGCACTGCTTGCTGACCGGATGACCCCTCCGTTGCCTATAGCTATTCCGTCTACCGCGCCAATGTGCACGATTGAATTCTTCGGCTACCGATGCTGCAGTTCTTTCAAAGTACGCATGCTGTTCCTCGCGCTCAGAGTCTCTGGTGCTAATGTGGGCGGCGACACAGGAATCCTCCGATGGCTCGATCCACCTTCCCGACGACGAATCTTGCATTCTAGATATGATGATACAATACTTTTACCTCCTGGACTACCGACAATCGCTTTACACAGACAGCCTCTTACCATCGCCAGAGCTAGAGCCAAGCGAGGCTGAAAGCATCACTTGTCTCCTTCTACACGCCAAGGTGTATACAATCGCAGAAAAATATGCTGTTGATGGCTTCAAGGACCTCTCCATAGCCAAATTCAAGGCTGCTGCTGCACAGGTTTGGGGGCCGAACGATTTTTTACATGCGGCTACCGAGGCCTATACCTCCACCATCGATACTGATCGGGGTTTCCGGGACGCTGTCCTCGAGGCATTCGCGGTGCATGAGGACCTGTCAGATGATGATGAAGCCAAGACATCCATCCAGAGCCTAGGCTCACTTCCCTATGATCTTCTTCTGTACTTACATCGGGAAGGAAAATTCCAGTGTTAGTACAGCATGCTGACCAGCTCGACCTTGCCTTCAAATAATTGCTTTCTAGCCTTGGCGGCCGGGGGCTTGTATGGTGACCGCATCAGTTGGGGACAAGAACGATACTATGAATTTGATATTGAGGTGGCTTTTAGGATCGCGCGATGGCTATTGTGAGATAATTCTTAGAAAGTTAACGTTCGGCACGAGATGCGAATCGAAGTGTCAGGACGCGAGCCAATACCGTAGGTTTAGCGTCAGATACGTGGCGTTCTTCATAATGGCCATTCAAACCGTGAGCCACAGCTCAATGCCCTTACTTAGAGGACCACAATCGTGCCCCTCAAGCGTATTCCTATCGTCCGGCAATGTCGGGTTCGGAACGGGTTCGAAAAAGGGGACCGCGCAGGTCGACGCAAGGTGTGGGCGTTGCGCCGGCTCCGGTGCCCTCGGCCGTGGACTGGGTTGCGGCTACCCATGCATCACGACCCACGCTGTGCAAGTACTCAATCCCAGTCACTCTGTCGCCAACTCTCACGATACTTCTTCTCAGAGACAAAGTCAAATATATCAACGTACAGGGCGAGCTAATCATAGTCAGCCATGCTATCGCCTTTGCAAGGAGGGCACATCGCCTCGATTCCCGCCCGCTGTTGGAAGAGGAGTGCGCTGCCATGGGTCGCGTCACTGATTGGTCTGGAGGTTGGGTAGATTGACACGCTACGTACGGTGGTGACTGGACAGCTAGCTTTCGCCGTTGCTGCACCTCGACGGTTGTCTATTTTTGTCAAGACTGTTGTTGGAGCCCTTCACGCCTGGCAGAAAACACTGGCTTTCTTCCCAGCCTATTTTGGTAGAAGCGCCCGTTTATCAATGCTTGGGAACCCCGCCAAGGCCAGGCTCAATAGTTTCAACCTTGGCAACGGCGGCCGCCTTGTAATGGTGGCCAACGAGCCACTCGGATCACAGAAGAATGGCCTGTGCCACCTACATACATCTGCCACCAAAACTCACGCCATTTGTTCTGTCACCCCATGCGAGCCCGCAGCCTCTGCGGGCCTCACAAGCCTAGGGCTGCTGATGCTGTGATTCGTTACATCGGTTATAGCCTGGCATACCCCGGGTGGAACAGGGCCATAGATAGCGTGCCGGAGCGCTTCCCCGGCGCAACCTGCTTCCTCGCGATTGAGAAGAGTCAATCGAGAGCCGAGCGAGTCGGCCCACGATTATTTCGCAGAGTGACGCACATTAATCACATCAGCGCCTAGATAGCATCTTCATACTAACCAGATACCACGCGTTCACGGGCGTGAAAACGGGCGTGAAAACGGACCTCGCACATGCCCAATTCGACCGCGAGTTTCCAGCAACGATGGACCTTGTAGCTGACATTGTTACTGCAACCCCGCGGTGGGTCCTTTTCCCATTCTGAGGAGATCGTGGAGCACCTTTCCACACCCTAGACCGGCCCCGAAACAAGACAATCTGCGTCGGGTCGCTTTCCCGACGGTTCCGTTAGTGCTCGCTACCCTTCATCGCGATGAGCTTCTGCCCCAAATTTGGGTCGAGTGGGGAGCTTGCGCTGTTAGCTGCCTCAACTCATGACCCTGATGAAATTTGTCAGTAGATTAGCTGCGTACGCAGAAGACTGCCTCGGCATGCCTGCTCACGCAGAAATGCCGCCCAAGCAAAGCGGCTCGCGCAGGATTCCGCTCAAGCAGAGCCGCCCACGCATAAACACGCTCAAGCAGAGTCGCTTGCGCAGGAATGTGCTTAAGCGCACAACCCCTTAGGCAGCAATCTGCGCAAGCAAAGCCGCACACGCGGGAGTCTGCTTGAGCAGGTTCCCTACGAGAGTGGTCTGACCTGTATGGAGGAACTCATATCCCACCTGCTGCTGCTAGGGTTCATCACCACTTCTTCTAAAACAGTGTTCACTGTGCAGCGGCAGTTGTAGATCACATCCACTGACTGTCCTCGATCGATGCAGCAGTCAGGAAGTGAGTCGGCCAAGCTACATACGTAGAGACACTCAATGTATTGCTTTGTGCTACAGTACAGTAACTCCTAGATAATCATAATCTTGCCGAGTCCATGGTAGGCAGGGTTACAGTGCTCCCAGAGTGAAGCTAGAAGCGCTAATTGATCTTCCTATTAGCTGATTATGACTGCGTTAGCTCGTGAGTTGTAAGGGAGGACTCGGCAATCAGGCTTGAGGAACGTAAGCTTAGGCGCTGATGCGTGCGTTGTGAGATGCTTTGCCGTTCGTCTGAACGCATGGCTCGATCCCCCATCGAACGCTGTTGGTTCTGGACGCCACATCATGCAAGCACTCAAGTTACAGTATCGGTGCTGTCCTTGATTACAGCTACGTAGCGTGTGGACTTTGAGCATCCTCTCTGCGCTGATCACCGTCTGGGTGGCAGATCATGAGTACCTGGGGAGACTTTGATACGAGCGTAAGTCAATATCGTCGTTGACTTTGTGTGAGACTCAGATGTAATCCGATTACGACACGTCCACAAATCTCTCTAGGTACTGTACTGTAGTGCAATTGGTATGTATGTAGAAACTTGATGGAGCATCGTCCTAGTGCGGCTAACGATCAGTTGAGAGATCCATTTCGGACATGTGGTTCATGGTTCAACGGCGACGCCTCGGTGTTCGTCTGTTACAAGCAAAAGCCATTTCTGGAGTAATCAACTTGGTTCGCAGCCAGTTGATAAGGAGCCCGTGCGCTGGGGACCAGAGGAGTCTAACTCGACAGGGGATGCAGCATTTCGTGGTAAGCCTAGCCCTGAGTAAATGACAAGGATCTCGCAATGGCTACTAAAGACTACCTACTTACAGCCACTTTCTGCTGGTCGGATTTGATCTTAGCAAGCAATGACGGGTGCCTATGGCTCATGTCTGTGCCGTAAAGCGCTTCCAACTAGCATCGGAATCAACTCCAAGCGCAGCAGGTACCGAAGCCAGTGTGCCAGAATGGGCTTGCGCGGGCGAACCAAACGCGCCATCCAAAGTGATCTACCCTGGCTCCGGAGTGGCTGGGCAGTCCATATGTATTGGCTGTCGTTGTCAGGAGTCAAGCAAGGGCGCCTTTGTCTCCCACCTCTAGAAACGGGTGATGTGGGCCGTTTGACCCCCTGCTGTCGGGATAGCATGGGCCCGTTGCCAAGTGTGATGTTTCTGGGGATTCAACAGCGCTACTGGAATCCAGGCAGACCTTCGAATTGATCACTTGGGAGGCTTCCACGAATGGGGGCGGCAATTGATTGTGGAGACGCTTTGGATTTGGCTAGCTAGTTTTACCACATCTACCGTTTTCCATGCAGCGAGTGCTGTGCCCTCCAGGAGACATCGTCTCTTGCCCTACTGGCTTGTCACACGGATATGCATCTTCTTCATGGTTCAGAGCCAGAACATTACGACGATCTACGTGTGAAGACCCCCCCACTGCAATACGGGGCGCCTGATCCTCTGCTGCGGTTTTCTGTGGGGTATGGATGGCCGGTGCGCGATTTCGCTTACCAGCAAAGTCTTGGGGTGTTCTTGTCACGGGGACGGGGTACATCCTGTCCTTCGAGATGTTAACATGAGGCGATTGCTCTACAGCAGTACTCACCATCTCCACCTTTGTCTTAGGCCAGGACGGCTCATTAGATGAAGTATACGTGTAGTGTTTGTGCATCCTACGGACTTGAATGTAAACGTCGGCTTTGTATCGCTCTCTTAGGCGGTCGCATCGTGCTAATAGACTCTTCGTTGCCTTGGTAAAGTTCTCACCAGACCTGTCTCGCTTCTTGGCGAGACGCTGACTCTGAGATGCCATGTTCGGCCTCCGGAGCATTGCTTTCGCGAGAGTGGTTATCGCCTGACAGTCTATCCTTAAATACTTCTAGAACAGAACGTGAACAATGTTCAACAATGTTAGCATTTTGGATCTTGGGCCCAAAATGGCCTTCACTGTCGCCGTTTTCCACCAGACGACTTATGTCGGTGCAGGTTCTGGCCTATGGGCCACACCTGGACAGGAGAAGCCAAGAATAGCCATGGTTTATTTTTAGCTTGGTTACCTCAGTAGTTGGTTTGCAGCGCTGCGCGCCATGAACGAGCTACCCCAGCACTTTTGGCACTTTAGGCCCACAAGCTCCTTCTCGAAGCTTCTGTGGACAGTGACTGCCCGCATACGCTAAATCTGCAGCCTCTGATCGTAGATCGCGATGAAGAAGGCCACTGGACCGACGACATGTCGAAATGCTGCGACCCTCTCACTGCTACCGGTAATACCATCGTAAAGGCATCAGCTTCCCCTCATCTTTCACTTTAAACTGTTGTGGGTCTGTTTCATTCCAATACGTTTTTCACAGACGTAGACGAGGACGTTCTTGGAGTGCTGTGCTCTTGCCTCTACAGTGCTCCTGCAAAGTGAACACACCGATGAATCATATCAGGAATAGTGAGGGAGTTGGTCCTTCCATAGCGCCCATCCCGCTATTACCCGAACCCCCTTCCGTACTTCCCGACAGCGAGCCTGCCTCAGCAGACTCCTGCGTACGCGAAGTCTCTTGCGCAAATTTCTGCGCATGCAGTTCCGCTTGAGCGTATACTTGCGTAGGCTGGTCTGCTTGACCGTACTTCTGCAGAGGCAAGTCTGTTTGAGCGCATGTCCGCGTAAACGGCTTTGCTCACGCACGTTTCTGCGTACACAGGTATGCTGAAGCAGTCTTTGCGTATGCAGGTGGTCTCTAGGCTTGATTAGCACAGAACTCATATGAGAGCAGATCCAGGCTCCGTAGGTAGATTAAGTTGAGGCACAAGGTGACAAGATATACATAGCGTGAAGATAGTCTACCGAGACAGTGGGAGTATCCACTGATACTGTGTGTTAATACTGTGTAAACGATATCGAGAATCGCCCGAGCGATCAGCAAAGGCAGAATATTAAAATAAATACATAGCGTGAAGGAAACAAGGCGCTGCTGGAAAAGTGCTTGGTCCATACCTTCGACACCACCTTGGAACGAAGTCCCGTGTTGGGTCAGCGGTACACCAATATTTTTGGCATAACAGTATGCCTACCGTACCACTACGAACACTGTACTAGTACGAATATCATACTGGTACGAAGAGTTGAGGTCCTCGAATAGCCATACTGGTACGATTATGTTGCACGAATTGCCATACTAGTTGTGAGGGTCACGGCTGTAGAGAGTAGGTTCAAAGTAGTAGATAGATTGTGATGACCCGTAGGGTCAGATCTAGATACAAGATGTAACGCGAAGAAGAGGAGAAAGAGATCGCGCTGTGCGAGCGGCGCGTCGCCGCAAGAAAAGGGGTCATGGCTTCGCCATGACTCGCGATACCCTTGACACCACCCTGGCACGCGATCCCGTGACACCGGTACGAGCAGCATACCTGTCACGGGATCGCGTGCCAGGGTGGTGTCGAGGGTGTCACGATTCAAGCTTCACCCAAGCTGGGTCTCCTACTTCGAGCTGGCGATAACTTCTCCTTCGCATAAGTCACGCTGTGTACTAGAGTCTTAGATGTGGGACATTCTCATATGTATGCTTTTTTTGTTCCATACGACAACTTCTGAATCTCATAGGAACAATCCTATGACACAGTCACCTATGACAGTGCCACTGTTGACTACGGTGGCCATAATCCACAGGTGCGCCTTGCGCTTATTCACACTTCGTCGTTGGCCGGCCATTTCCCATCGGCTCCAGAAGCACGCCTCCTGACTTCGTTTGGAGTCGGCCTCCTCCCCGTCGCTTCCCGCGCAGATGGTTGTTTGTCAGTATTGGCCCGACGCGCAGTGTGATCTTTGGCCGTCCATGAATCCCGCGGAACCTGAGTGGCGGTACCCATCTCAGTGTTTGACACCGCCCCAAAACGACTGCGATAACGATCTGTCGATATCTGTCGAGCAGTTTCGTCCGTAAACGAGCCGATCCACTGCGCTGAGCCGTTCGTAGATGATGCCTTCTTGACATCAAAGAGGTCTGCCAAGGTGGTGATAACTACTTGGTCGCTTTCGACGTCTGCAATCAACTCACCAACGCGATAAATTCTTTGCTGGGCAACCGTCTCAGAGGCCGCTTTACAGACCTCTAGACACTTCTTCGAAGCCTTGAGGTCCTCCTCCAACCGTGATTTCTCGCTTTCATCTTGACTTGTCCCATTCCGGGGCAAGGATGCTAAGCGCTCATGCAACCGACCGATGGTTTCCGAGAAGTTATCCCGGTTTTCGTCGAGTGTTCGGCGTATCATCAGCTGTGCTTCGAATCGCACCTGGTCGTTTCCACTATTGGTCGGGGGCATTTGTTGCTTTAGAAGGTCCCCATCGCTCGCCAAGGTCTCAAGATAATGCTGCGCATCCTCACAGATTCGCAGGCATCGCTCTGTCACAACCCGCTCATCCTCCAGGTCTGTGGTCGTGCCAGAGGCATCCACGCTGCCTGCAATTCCCCTAGTCAACCCATCCATCTTTTCGTCAATGCGCTGTAGTCGAACATTAAGGCGGTACATGGTATCCATGATCATCTCGCTGTATTCCTCGAGGACTTCCCGAGAAGCTTGAGATGTTTGCCTAACGTGATGTAAGCCACTGTAAGAGGAGGACTCGAAATCAACAGGACGGGTAACCAACATGGTGATTGTGCCGAGGCCTATCGAGATTGTTTCCTTGTAACCCGACAAAGCGTCCAAGAAATCGTTGATGTCGCCCCGCATGAACTCCATCTTTGCCCAATCTCGGAAGCCCACTTTAGACTTCCCGCTGAACACCTTCATGGCTTCCTCGAAGTCGTTACATAATTGGCTGCATCGACGAATGGGGTCTTTGAGAAGGGCCATCATGTCGGATTCTGTTTCGACGACCTTGTGTAGCGCGTCAAGGATCCGTAAGAAGTCCTCGAGCTCTGCTTGTAGTCGGGACAGAGTTCTATCCCGACCTTTATAGCGACTCACAGTCTCGACAAGCAACTTTACAGACTGAGCTGCTGTCGTGAGTAGCGCAAGTACAGACGTGGTGATGCTTAAAGGGTCCGCCATGCTTGGAAAACGTTGCCAACCGAACACCGTCTCTGCTTGGATTGGCCGTGTCGCAGGTATGAACTGTGGCGGGGAAGTCACGGACGATAAACAGTGAATTTATGTTCGAAACGCGGGCCCCATTGCTTGCATTAAGCCACACTTTGGTTGGCGCACTTAGCGCCGCGCTCAACCTAGTTGTGCTGTGGGGAGGTCTTGTGGGCCCCACCTGCGGGTGATACCCCTACGGAGTACAAATTGGCGGGATGCCATGGTTGCCGTTCTTTTGCATGAAGGTAACGCAGGTGGGCGATTCAACCTTGTGCTTCCCCAGCGCTAGAGCACCTCAAACACCGCGAGAGCTCCCGCTTTCCGCGATGAAATTTTGGCTTGGTGACAAGCGTAGCGAGACTGACGTCGGGCTAACTTCCTCGGCTGCATGTCTGGATTTGCTGCTATCCGCATCACATTGATATGGTGAGAATGATACGATTATGGTGATGACAAAAGTCAAATGCTCTATATTGACTTCGTGAGAAGGAGAGAGTCCTGAGGATGGGCCGGCTGACCGGCGAACAGTTGATCGGAGGCGACGGTAATCCGATTGGTGCGTTGTGGGCAGTGCTCTGCGTCGGGCAGATGAAGGCGCCAGAATTCTGCGCCCCAGCTCCATCGATAGAAGTATCGTTCGGCCTGTTCCGGTATCTTGGTTTTTGCCCCTCTTCTAGCTCGCCATTCTTCTTTCCTGCTGCTTCTGCCTTTCGAATAGATCTACTAGATCTTTGCCGTACCTAGAGCAAAAGTTTGACCGGTACGAATTGCCATACTAGTACAACCACCATACTAGTACGAACGGTAGCATTTCGTTACGACAACTTTTGGTCGCGGTGCTCTGTCATAGGTATGCTTGCACACCTTCAAATTCCGGTGCTGTATTGCTTTTTCGTCCCCAGGATGGTGTCGAGGGTATCGCGAGTCTAACTTTCACCATAAGCCCTTTCCTTGCGGCGACGTGCCACTCGCTTAGCGCGATCTCTCTTTCCTCTTCTTCATGTTACTTCTAGATCTGACCCTGCGGGTCACCGTAATTCATTTACTACTCTCAACCTGCTCTAAAACCGTGATATTCACACTCATTTCTCATATCTCTTGGAATTCACGCTCTTGCAGTTGTCCAAGATTCTCCTCTCAGGCCGTTTGTCTCAGAGAAGGCCAGCCTGATATGCAGCCATTGAGGGTCCTTGAACGTCCCCTTCCTCACGACTCAGAATCTCGAGCATCCGGTGCATTCAAAATACCGTTGTCGCCGCTTAGTGAGCCATCATCCCTAATCTTATGCGCCAGGAAAGGCTGAAAGCTGATCAGTCGGTTCGAAGTTCCATTGGACGATCCGCCCACAATCCAGTTTAGGGCATCACCTTCCTGACGATAAATATTTCTACGACCCGCATAGCTCAATAGTCCCACGCTGGCCTTAATCACTTACGCATAGCACTCATGTTTGGTTGTCGTCCGTATTGACTCGGGTGAATTCTGTCACCAAGCTAGCGCTCTGAGTAGCATGCAAATGACTGCCTGGAGACATCCCACTGCGCTAATACCGATTTGATCAGGCGGGTGCATTGGGAGCCAATCATATACGCGCCACACACCTACCACGACACATGTTTTTCTCAATAGCCTGTCCTACTTCTTCTGCCTTAATCATAATCTCACGTACCCCGCTTCTCCCTCACTGGGATGGCTTGCACTCGATCGAATTCGCGCGCTGAAAAGGATGGTTGCTCTACTCCTGTGGTCCAACGTAAAGGTAGCAGCTGTTTGCTGTCTAGAGCTATGCGCAACTGACCATTAGCAGGCAAGCAGTTCCAAAACCGCGTCGACAAGAACCGTCGTCAAACGAGCGTTCCATCGCATCTCACGACACGACGAAGAAGCCCTATTTCAACTCGGCGCTGACGCCGACGGCCGTACCAATCTCGGCGAAAGCCTCGGACAGGCTCACACACGCCATCCAGATGGTTGTCGGAAACGACGCCAACAGCCGGATGCCCCCAGATCTTCCACGGAGGAGCGCCCTTGAAGAGATCACGGCAGATTGCTCGCCGCCGCAAAGAAGAGACGACCGATTCGGTAGCATATTGGGCCAGAAAGGAGACGTGGCCGCGGCAATACTTTGAGCAGGACTGGAGCATGGAGCGTCACTTGCGAGGAAGAAGTCTTAAGAGAAGACTGCTCCACATCGTGACCCGCGGTATGAAACCATACTTGCGACCAAAGGAGGCTGCATGAACAACTCCTCCCAAGGCATAGAAGCAAGCAAGTCCATCATAAAGATGTTGCTTGAGACGTATCAAGCCAATCCACGCAGTTCTCTTATCTCGCGAAGATATCTTCGAGGCTACCCGTCGCATGGTTGCAGAGCAGCGCGTGTTACCGTCACTCGCGACATCACTTCGCTGATCGTCTCATGCGCAGAGCTTCTTGCTACCTACCACGCTACGGAGCCCGGATGCTTGATCGGAAGCATGAACGAGGGGTGGAGTAACTCTATTCCGCTTACCGACATCCGCCCGCAACTTGAATACTCCGTAAGTTCAGGCCTGAAGCCTTCATCATTACTAGTGAGTCTTTGTACCAAGTCTCTAGGAGGCTGTCAATCTATTAGGTGGGCTTGCTGCACAGAGTCATTTAATTCTTGATCCGAACGCCTTGCTGCAAGATGGTGATTTTCCAACTAGATATCACCATGAGCACTATTGGGGCAGTAGAAGTCAAAGCAACTTCTCTTTCTGAAGCTATTTAAAAAGAGAGATTGGAGCGGCGACCACGTCCTCACGAGCGTTAACCCCGCCACCGTCAGAAGGCAAAAGTCTGCCATCGAAAGCTCTGCTACTGATGGTAGTGGCAGTCCTGGTGATGTATTGTTGGATCACTTCACACCTGCATTCGCTGTGATCCAAAATCTGGCTTCGTAGTGAAAGCACCTCGTTCTTGAGCGCTGTTGCGCACACCTGAAGATTTATCCAATCTTCTTCTATCTGCTTCTCCTTAGCGGCAAGATTTATCTCGTATTGCTTTGAATTTTGCCGGTATTGTTTTGTAGCGGCTTGGTTCTTGACGCGATATGGTCCCTTCTTCTGTGGCTTAATGCATTTGGCCTCCTCAGCCCTGAATAAGACATCGTGTGTGGTGTCTGCTGTGGGCACAAAGCGTTGCGTAACCTTCGACCGCTTGTTTCTATCGCGCGTTGCATTGTTCACTAGTCCGCTACTTTCTATTGAAATAGGTTCGAATTGATTTTCTTGGAAGTGCCACGAGGCTGCGTTCGCAGTAGGAAGAATCTCGATGGCAGTTGGCCATTGTGCCAATTGGCGTGAGTCTACCTGATTGCCTTGGGCTCCCGACCAAGAATACGGGGGCCCAGTGCTGCAGGGCGGTGTCCCACATGCCGTTATATTGTTCGAGATAATTGAGGTCTCGGAGCTGGATGAACAATGGTTATCTTTTTCGGCCCCCCAGAACGTAGAGCTCGTTGTGCCAATCAAGCCGTCTGGAGGAAATAAGGCCTCCATGGCTTGCACTGAAGAGTCTGGTTGCAATCACTGTTGACATTGCTCATAATCGTTGGCGTGCAATCCGAAGGGTTCCGGTAGTAAGACGTCGATGTACGTGTCCATCTGCTGCGGCTCAGCTACTCAAGGCAGACCACGGTGCGTTGAATGGCGTCCAAAGTAAGTAGTGGCTGTTCGTCAGTCAATTGACTGCGGATCACACTTCCCACCGATCGGTTTGTGAGAGGCCCCAGGCGTTGTCAACGATGAGTTGCTTTGCAAATAATACTGACAGGATTTCGAGGAAAGGAAAAAGCTGGTTCGGTACGAGCTGGACGACCACGAATAGGCAGGTGTAGTAGCGGTGGCTAGCTAGATCAAGAAAAGCGCTTGCGAGAGAGGTTAGGTGATTCCTCAGTATGGACATGTCAAAAGGTTGGTGCCTCCATACTATGCAAGTACATGGTGATAACCGAACGTAAAGGCGGTAGGTCCAAATGCAACCGTGAATGCTTCCAGGAAATTCACCATACCGTGCTTCCAGTCAGCCTCCCAGCCAAGCAATCTCAAGGACTGTTGCGGCGGTTCGTTGTCGGATGGGGCGCGGACGGCTCGTACGGTCGTTATGATTGGAGCGCGCAAAGAACGGCCGTTAATTCAGACAGCGATTAGCAAAGAAAAGCAACAATGACAGCCAATCGGACCTAGCTCCTGCACATCGCTGTACAACACACCGCACGCCCCTTTGAGTGATCCCTCAGCGGGGGAGGCGGGGAGATGCGTTCTGCTTGGCCGCCTTGTCTTGTGGGTGGCGTCCATGCTGAGCCAAACAATATGAACAGAACTTTACATCTCCCTTCCAATAACCCCTCCTTACGACATCGATATATGTACTGCGCTGCAAGGCCGCGACCTAGTGGGAAAACAGGACGCCACGCAGCGTCCCAACAAAAAGAAATTCAAATCAATGCTACATCCCATAACCGGGCTCACCTCGAGCGTGTATTCCTTGTTGACCAATGACTGAGAAATACTTCGGAACCCGATGATCACGAATCAGAGGGCGAAATAGCAAGTCCAGAGATACTAATGCACATTCACATGATAGGTGTAAGTTGGGGAGGGGGTGAAGAAGGCGAACCAAAGGTGGCATGCTTGATTGTCATTCCGCCTCGGGTCTTATTGGTGGGGCAAATTACTGCACATTGAGCTTATCTAAGCAGTTCTGGTTTGGCTCGAACCCAGTCAGATGGGCAAAAGCATTCCCGTGCCCGGAGAAATCGGAGTTCACTCGCCGCTTGATGATCTTTTAACAGTCGCATGTGTCGCATCCGAATTTAGGAGCCTGGTGAGACTTAGCAGCTACATGCTCATCGCGAGACATCCACGAAGGCCATGTTTGAAGGCAAGTAATGCAGGCAAGATTCATCGCTGGAATCGTATGATTATATGATGGTGGAACAGGAGTGATGGTAGTCCATATAATTGTGAGAAGAACGTGTGGAAAGATGCATGATATACATTCAGTCGGTACTATATTTAGGGGACATCTTGTGTGGCAAGCGTGTCGCGGACCACTCCAGTCCAAAGTGCGTCGTAGATCGCTTCGTGTTTGTTCGTAGAAAGCGTTACGCCCGCGATGTTGAGACATGTTGCCCAATTATCTTCGGGTTCGCAACGGGGGCTTAGTTGGCCTCCTGCAGTTGCAGCATGCGAGACGACGATGACTGCAACAGTCAAGCGTTGTAATTAACGCGGAGTTTCGAGGTTAGAGGGCGCAGTTCTGGCAGCACCATATCGCGAGCAGATCTGTTTGCCATCCACATCACAGTACCCCAGATCGTTGGTGAATCCAGAAGACGATGCGCGAACTCAGTGACCACTTGTCCAAGGGTACAACACCAGGAAAACAGGTGGCTGCTACTGAGAAGACGAATGCTGGCACACAGTTGCTAGCACACAGATGCTGACAAACAGAGAGCATGTTAGGTAAGCGTTGCCAGCGTCTGTGTGGGCTCCTCTGGTTGCATAGGCGCTGGCACATCTATGCTAGCACACAAGTGGTGGCATACAGACGCTAGCATAGATAGCACACAAAGTAGGCACTGCCAGCGATTGTGTGGGCTTCTATGTTGGCACATTGGTGCTAGCACACAGGCGATAGCATTGTCTCGTGCTGGCTGATCGACGAGGTTTTCCTGTGGCTCATGATGTGGCTCAGGTCGACATACAATATGGCATACAGTCCCCCCCCCCCCCGATTTGTCCAGTCTTTCCTTATTCGGAGGCAGCAAGGTAGAACACGGCAAATACTTGCTGTACTTGACAAGCGTTCTCAAAGACGTGAGGCAGAAATAATTCTATGGAGCGAGAAAGAGGAAGCAACATATGCTCGTTACTATCGATACAATCCCTTGCTGGTGTTTAGCCTTTGCCAAACACCAAACTAGTCATGGACTGAAGCAATCTGAGCAAACACCTTGGCGCATGATTCGTATGCAACGTAAAATTAAAGAACGCGATCGAAGCGAATAGAAGTCTGTGTTTCGCATCACGACCAGCCTTTGATTATTCCAACCACAGCGACGTGAGGAGATTTAACACTTCTTGCCGTAGGCCTGCTTCATCATGAATCACGAAATGCGCACCGCTTAAAGTGGCTGATGCGGATCTGCAAATTGCTACAGTCGCTCATGGATGGAGCCCAGCGATGCGTCTGTATAGATTTTGCGGGAATGTTCCCAAGAGTCTGGTGCCTTGCTGGCCATCGTGTACCCAAGCATCCACGTTCCGGATTGGGAACCGCGATCAAAGTTCACGTCGCTGGACCGCAATCCCTTTGGCGGGCTTCATTGCACATCTTAGATCTAGTATTCTAGGCTTAGCCGGGTCACTGGCACATGAGCTGGCTACATGGCCAACCGGGACTCCGCTCCCGGATGTCAAATAAACAAGGCCAGCCCACGGAAAGCCGAATCCCCGATGATCAAGCGCGACACCCAATTCGCTCATGTATTGTCTGTCCTATCGAGTGCTGCAAGGCGACAATACATACAAGTGCGGGGGAATAGCAAATCAAACGATATTGTTGATTTATTCCCATTATCTCCGCGAATCAGAAGATTCATTTCCAGATAGATTTGGAGAAAAGCTGGAGACCAATGTCCTGTCGCCTTGCAGCACTCGGTGGGATAGTAACCATTCTTTGAGTTGCTTGTTCAAAGTTTTGTTTACGCTACTGCACATGGTTCCTAAGCAGTGAATTGCAGCGAGCGCAGAGAGGTGGCGTTGCTAGTGAGTGCAACGCGTCGAAGCGCGCTTCCGCGGTAGGCATCAACTTGGCCCTCACCTCGTACGGACACAGGTCCCAGATACGGTGTTTGTACCTTCAGGAGCCATCTCGGCCGGTGCTGCTTTGACCGTCATTCATGTCCCTGCGTACTGTCATGCGCTTTTTTCTTTAGTTGCTTATATAAACATCTAGGTACCAAAAACCTGTTGGGTAACTTGGAGGAACACAAGTCTGAACCCCTCTGCTGGGCACGGAAATGTATCTGCGTTTTGAATCATGGCCAGTGACTCACAAGGCAGATTACACTATCACACTGCATCATGGCCAGGCAGTCACCCGAGGTTAGCGTTCTGACACGAACCAAGGTCCCCTCAGAGTGTAGTTCCCGACTGCAGCGCAAAAGCTGCCCCGGTATTGCGAAAGATGGCTGTTCAAGGACTGTGACCAGAAAAGGGAGGGATGGGATGGGTGCAATTGCACTAATGATGCATCGTGGCCTTCGCAATCCACACACAAACGTCTGCAATGTTACTGCTCATGCCTTGAGCAAAAACCCTTGGTTCCAGGCGGTCGCGGTCAGTGATGTTCAGTGGAACTGTGCGAAGCGCTGCCCAACTCTTATTGTCTTCTGCTTAGCTGAGGAGAAGACAGCCAATGAAAGCCTGACATCCGCCCCACAGCTCCCCTGATGGGTACTTAATAGCCCACCTCCTCCCAACATGAGCGCCTGTTAAGGCATGTCCTGACAAAACCATGCCATAGCGCCTACAACCAGACCGTCCCAATCGTCGCAGATGATCATTTCTACCAATACTCTCACCACCATTACCATGGCAGAGTCGCCTGTTGGCTCTCTCTCTCCCGACAAATACCGGTCACAGTACCTCTCTCACGACGACTACATAGAATTGCGAAATTCCCAGGACGAGCATCTGAATGCGGAGCTCGCTTCCATCCGATGCTCCATCGACAACGTCAAGCGGGAGTTGAAAGCCGACATTAAGGAGCTTAGAGACAACGTCACAACCCAAAATCAGCGTCTTGGGCGTCTCGAAGACCAGACACAACGTCTCGAAGACCAGACACAACGTCTCGAAGACCAGACCCAACGTCTAGAGGCCGAGGTTCGCCAGTCCCAAGCCTACATGCGCAATAAGGGATTGAAGAATCCAACCCTCCCCATCAGACCTGTTGTCGTGTATCGCCCTGGACATGGCATTCTCGAGCCGGAATCCTCACGATTTCCTCGAAACGCGGACGAGTTTTACTCCCTGAGGGACCCGCAAACTGACCGGCACCGGTCCATGCTGGCCTACCTTGCCGTCTTCTACGACGTCCAACTCAGAAGTGCTGGTCATTTGCCTGAAGAGGAAAGCAACAGCGACGATAGTGACGACGACGAAATCATACTCGAACACCCTGACCTCGTCGTGGAGAAGTTGGAAGACATACTCGGCCTGAATGAAGATAAAATTACCAAGTTCAAGGAGAGAGCTCTGCAAATGGCATCACGAGCGCCATCGAAACCCATCAAACGCTCCCAAATATCCTGGCCTGGAGATGGACCTATTCCTGGCCCACGCCGACAAAGACTCGAATTACGTATCACTGCCGAGAATCAGCCATACTTTTATGATCCCGATCGCCCGAAGAGTGTGTCCTCTGAAGGCTTAACCAATGCACATGTTGGATGGGGTACACGTTCAACGCCTTCCTCGCAAAGGGCACGACTACAGTGGTCTCCCAAGCTGGCGCACGTGTCCGAGCCACCCAAACCTGAACCAGAGCGACCGAAGTCTGCGTCTAAGAGTACCGAGGCTGAGTCAACAGATACCGATAACGATACACACGTGTTTACGAACTCGCCGGAACGGTGATCTCAGAAGACACGGGCGGTTGAAACCAGTGGCCCATCAGCCAGGCGGATACCGCCACCCCCAGGGTGGTATACAATTGTCGACTTAATACTTTCTACGATGGAGCGTAGAATGTCAATGGTCAAGTGCGCACGGGTTTTGGGTGCATGGAAGGAGGTTTGCGAGCAGGTCTAGGACGTGTGTGAAAGGAGCTGGAGAGTGACTGAGCTATCTTTTCAGTGATAACAGTTTGGCTCTCGGCTCTTGGCACCGCGTTTACCCTTAGGTATATACTGACATTCCCCCCTAGAGCTTCTCTGCATAGCACTTCCATCGGGGTGGAGTGCTCCGATACGAGACAGGATGCCAACCAGCTTGACCTGGCCATCAAATGCAAACGGGTTCAACTCCTCCCAAACAGGAGTCCCACTACATATTTATTGGCGATTTTCATTTGGTCTCATGTTCAGGACAGGTCGTATAGTATTTCAATCTGAAGTGAACATATGCAATCTGGAGAAGCTTCTTCTTGAACCCTGTTACCTACAGCCAATCAGTAAAGTATCGCATCTCATAGTCCATTTACTCTTGTTGGCTCCTTAACGGCGGCGGATCACTTGACGTCCGATCCGTCGAAGGCTCCATGGGATAAAAAAACCGCCGAATCGCGTCTGTTTCTTTGAGCCACAGCATTACCGTTATGCATAGCCCTTCGCATGGCTCTCCGCGGCGTGTCCTCATCTACGGCGTCTTGGACCCCGGCACGCGTAAGCACGTATCCATGGCACACGAGATCTGATACGCCTCCCTCTTCCTCCTCCGCAGCTTGCTCGAGGCCGACACTGAGGAAAGCCGGCCACACCACCTTGACTACATCTTGAGTCGAGAACCCCACCCGCTTCGGGGTTTCCTGCAGTGGCTGATGCCCTCCTTTTTCCTGACGCGATGGTGACACCTTCGCGCGATTGGCTAAGGGAACTGTGTCTATCCATGGCGGCAGTTGCTGCCAATCGTCCAGGGTCTCGAAGGTAAAGCATGGCTCAACTCTTTCGTGTAGCCTTTGTACACGTTGCCAAGCCCCACACAGCATGCTTGTAAGGTTGCTAAGACGTGATCTCAGTGCCGCGCGCCGATCGGCCGTTACCCAGCCAACTATTGCCGCCATCACATCCTCGATCACGTGCTCGGCACACGCGTCTTGACGCATCCTCTGCTTGGCCGGCAATACCTCGAGCAGCGCGGCTCGAACAAGTGTGTCTTGAAAGGCATTCGTCGTAGGCAGTGCGTCTAACATCTCTTTGGCATCACTGTCCTGCGAAAAGTACGTTGGCCGGAAGACGTATCTGGTCAGCGCTCTAGCATAGATGATCAGGCCTGCGGTTGCCCTCATCTGCTTCGCTTGGGTTGAATTCGAGGCCGGTATGGGAATTGCACGCTGTATGGCTACGTGATCTCTAACGCGATCCCAAAAACTCAGATCCTGTAGTTGGTCTTCGTCGATATCACGGCCGAGGAACTCCCAAAACAAGGCTGATGCGTCTTTGAATGACGAGGCAAGGATACCTGTTCTGACATGGATAGTTAGCATACTTAATACCGTGCTCAAAAGATTTGTGCATACATTTCCACTTTGACATCTCTCAAAGATGTCATCACAGCAGTGTAGGACATGATTGTTGCGAGCTTGCTCTCTGCGGCTGCTAAAGCCTTCGAATGGGTGCCTAGCTGGTCATCGGTGGACTGCAACTTGCTCTTGAGCGTAGCGATTTCCTCCTTGGCCTCCTTGAGCTGGCCTTTTTGTCCGTTGATGACGCTATCAAGCTCCGTGATACGAGCCTCGTGTTTCTTGCTGGTAGTCATGATTCTTTCGACATCTTTCTCGAGGAGCTCAGCTTTCTTCTTCCACGTCGTGGAAGTGTCCTGTTCAGTCTTAGGTTTCCGGTACGCCGTTGCTTTTTCCTCCAAGACCTTTTTGTAATATTTGTTGTGATCGTCAGATTTTTTCTGGAACACCCCTTTCTCAACGTTTCGATCTGTGATTACTTGGGTCAATTTTTCGAGATTCTTGCTGAAAGCGGTTCTCGTGTCATTAAGTTCCTCTCGAAGTCTGTCATGATCCGAGATCATGGCCTTCAGACCCTGAAACCCGCTCTCGGTGCAGAATCTTCCCAGGACAGAAATGAACTCATCGAAAACACCTTCAGGTCCTTGGCCGTGAGTGGTCTTGTCTGCCTTCGGAGAATCGTGGGCCGGTGGCAGAGTCATGGTAGCGGCAAAGAGGCCTTTAGCCAAGGAGTTCCCCAAGAGAGGAGTAGACAGACAAAAAGTGGAAGATGCCCGTTGTGCTCGATTGTGCTCGGTTGTGCACACATTACGGCTTATCAACTCAAAACCTCGTCTGCTCAGTCCGGATCACCCTTCGCTTCATTCTTCCGCGAATGTCAGCTTCACCACTGCCTATTGAGGCTTGACATTGACGGTGCAACCAGCGAACGACCTGACATGCCTGAGGCGGGTGGAAAATATTGGGTGAAGGATTCAGAGCCTACAGGCGACTGCTACGATTATGCATATTGGCAATAAAGTGCTGAATCTGCGCCCTACATGATGCAGTTGGCTCAGCATTAACAAGAGTGCAGCACACTGGCACATGAACCTCTCGCGTTACAGAGTGCCACGTCTCTCGAGGCATGGTGTGACGTCTTCTCAAAGGGCGATCGAGCCAGTCAAGCAACGCATTACCTGCAATGGCGGCGGTCCTTGGCCCACCATTCATGCGTTTTACCGGCTTTGTTGCAGGACAGCGTCAAAGTAAGGCGACCACGTCTGCCCGCGTCGTCCGGCAACCAAAGTCTCCTGAGAGCCAATAAGACCTTGAGCATCAATCAAGCTCAATGTTATAGCTTGAGATTGGGAAACAGGCCGGGCTCCTTGTCGGGTATGGTACAGTCTCGGGAGTGCTTACTCTCGAGATGGCCGAAGCACCGTCGTGGAATCTATTGCCGTGGCTTCGTCCACGAGGCAAGGTAATCTGGCATTTCATGGGGCTAAGGTGAAGTGCGGAACGAGAGGGGCTAGTTGGTGAAATATAGGTCAGATGCATTATGAACTTATTTTCTCTCAGACTTGCCACACTCTATCAGTGTTGGGTCAACAAGGATAAAAGCCACACAAGGCGGAAACTCACTAACATCGTGTGGGAGTTGGTCAGCATCCTTCTTTATGGTCTGCCTGCATCCTCTGATACTCATTCTGACCTAACAATTGATTGCAACTCGTATGTACTGCTTAGAGACGACGGGGGCCCTTAAGCAGTATGGCATGCGAGGGACAGCATTTTGTAGACGAGCAGACCCCCAGCCTACTTTTGCATACTTGAGATGGCCTGCACAAGCCCCATGTTACATTAAGCACACATGATTCTACACTTCTGTTCTCCAGAAATCTTGCTTGCACAGAACTATATGGGAGCAAACCTGCTTTCATGTACATCTGCCCGGTGAATTCTGTCTATGCCAAAACTTGCAGAAGCACATTTTGTCCATGCATGATAGGCTCAGAAAATGCCGTGGGCCCGAGAAGTATGAGTACAGATGAACGGTGGACCAAGAACCCAACGCATACGCACCGCTACCCTTGTATGCCGCAGCGTTTTGAGATTGTACCAGAGGACGTGCGGAGGGAAAACCCTGTAACAAGCAAATTTGGAACGGGGGGGTTGGCTAGATAAGCTACTTAGTATCTGATTCGCTCGCATACGTCGCAATCAAGACTCCGCTACCAAACGATCGCGTTGCGACAGCCTGTCGCTTTGTTTGATTGGCTTGTTGGTCCCAGCAGTTATCTTGGTATGGACGCCAGGCACTGTGACGACAATGGCTGGTCATAATTTTTGTGTCGGGGCTGAAGGTGTGACGAGCTGTTGACAGGGAGGAGTGGAAACAATCCATGACAGAGTTGCTAACATCCCTCTGAACAGATCAGATCAGCCACGTTCTCTCCCAATTCATGCACACATAGCTTGACCAATAATCTGCTGGACTTGGCCACGTCCTCGACGAGTGGAAATGCTGAAGGGTCAAATGCGAGTGACCAACATGCAGGAGCTGGCACGACTCACCATAGCAACTGGAAACCAACAGAATGATCCGCAAGCTTGCTTGATCGAAAGAGCATCCTTGTCAAACAGGCGCCCTGCCGTTTACTGACCCGCTAGCATGTTGGTATTGGATGGGGTCAATTATCGAGTCTATGTTTGAGCCAAAGAGTCTGAATCAGCCCATGGGTGCTTTCACACTACAAACGAGATAATGCTATGGACGAAGTATAAGGTACTGAACTTTTATGGGGGTCGGGACCCACATTATTGGACGTGGACATACGCAGTAAACACTGGCAGCCCATATCGCCTAGGTATTTGGTGTTTTCCCACGAAACGGAACCGGAAGGTCGTTCGTGAAAGCCGTTGATCCGCTTGGCATGGCGCTAGTAGCAAGCCACCTGTCAGACTGCCCCAGCACATTCGCTACGGTAATGGTTTCACCTCGAGCGACCTGACTTATGCTTAACCAGAGGTATGAGTAAGGCTAGCAAGGGTATCCTTATACAAGGGGATCGCACACTCATTATATAGATATGGGGTTTCTTTCCATAGCCATTCATTGGACATACTCATCAATACACACAATATGACCCCTGCCTGTCTAACTGCTGCTCGATACCACCTATTGGCGAAACGAACACTCCTGGTTCCCCGCGTCCCAGACCGGCACTCTGGTTGGCCAACTTGCGGTGGAATTGTGCTTTAATAAAAGGGCCGTGCCTATCGACCCTTCTTCCGGTTGGATGTAACTCGCCGAGCGGGTCTCAACGACTTGCAATAAGGGGTCGGATACGCTTGCAAGCAACGTCGAGGACATGGCTGTGATAGATGCTCAGTACCCCACAGCTGTGCCCCCACAGATATCCGGACCCTCCTAGCTAATGAGCTCAGTTGGAATCGACGCGCCGATGCGGCTTGGAAGACAAGGCGCTGTTGGTCTGCAGCTCAGTGTAAGAATCCCAAGCAAGAAGGGCTTATGAAGTATGTTTCCCATTGGTCTATTCCACAGAACGGCTAAACAAGTCTCTTCTGCGCGACTTTTCTACTTGTGCTACCTTTTCATATGCATTCATTCCTGTATGTTGCAAACTCAATGGTCGTAGAGCTGAATGGACTGTGTAATCTAGAGGTGCTGTAGTTCGGGCAGTCGGTAGCAAAGTGGATCTGCAAGGCGGTGTAGGCCATAACAGTGGCTCATGCACTCATCCAATTGGTTGGGCTTGGACCCAGAAAGAATTTGGACACAAAATGTGTTACGTAGCACAGAACCGCAACCCACGAAATGTCCGTCATGTGCTATATCACGTGTGTATGTATCACTGACATCTCGGATAAGGACCTTTTTCTTTTGTCTATTTCAACTTTGATATATTAAGCCACTTTACTACACTTCGTATGCCCATTGCCGCGTGCCACAACTCGTGACAAAATGACTTGTTCCATTCCAGAGCTATGAAATATGACATGATGAATATCCCAACTCATTTTTTTTCATGATCATTCACTTTGACCCCAAGAATCACATCGCCTGAGTGTTCCAGCCTTCCTGGTTCTGAGCAACCACCCTTCCGCATCGGCCAAGGCGCTCGATGGCGAGCCTCTGTTTGCAAGAAGAAACGACAGGATGTCAGCGGGGCTGAATTGCAACTCCGGCACGACACTCGCAAACTTGACTGCCAGCTGCTGCACACCTACGTTATTCTTGTCTCGGGTCTCGGCATCAGGCATCTCCTTTTCCGAGTGCTCGAAAACAGTGCAGAACAGCTTCCGAATCACCTCAGCATCGGCGAGTCCGAACTCGATTTTCTTGTCGACGCGGCCAGGTCGTATCAGAGCGTCGTCCAAGTGCTCAATGTGGTTCGTTGTCATAATAAGGACACGACCGTCCTGCGAAGCCACGCCATCAAGGACATTAAGTAATCCAGACAATGAAAGAGATCCATGAGACTTTGTTGAGCCACGTGATACGTCTGAGCCCAGATCAGATTCATCGTTATCAGCATCTCGAGCTCGTGTAGTGCCGACTGCGTCAACATCCTCGAGCAGAACGACGCAGCGCTGGGGAAGGTCGGCGAATAAGGCACTAAGCCGCATATCGTTGATGTCGGCAAGACTAACGACATAAATATCGAGACCGAAGCAGCCGGCAACAGACATACTGAAGCTCGACTTTCCAGTCCCCGGGCGACCGTACAGCAGATAACCTCTACGGTATGGCAGACCGCGACTGGCGTACCAAGCACGAGAATTAGGGTCGAGAAAGGCGCGAATGTCGTCCAGGAGCGTTTGCTTGAACTCTTCCTTCATAATGACGGTTTTGATCGGCCTGATTTCTCGGGTCATGGTTCTTTTCCAGCCATTATTGTGATGTTCGAATATTGAAGTTTTGTCTTGTGAGATTTTCAGGTATTCAAGGCGGCATTCACCCATGAGATCTCGCAGAATTTGCGAGGAACCACCAACACAAGAAACAGTCATTGTCTTGCGAGGAAATAATGCCACCTCGTTTTGCGTGCATTGCAGAAAGAGCAAATGCCCTTTGTACCAAAAATACAATCGCTCTCTCCACGGGGTAAATCGAAGGGGCTTCTTGGTCGTAGTGTCGTAGTCTGGACGGTACATGGCCCGTCCTCGCCTGCTGTCGACGCTGACAAGGGATGAACGAGCGTTTTTGGCAAAGTCTTGGGAAGAGACCCAGCATTCGAGCATATCGTATCCTTCGTCAGGATCGTGAACGTCGGCTCTACATGCTGCCGGGCATTAATACTGTGCTGAAGCATTGGAAAGGAAGGGCCACCAACTTAAGTAAGCATCTACGAAGCCTCCCACGCTATTGCAAATGAATCTGCCACCAAAAATGAATATTCCGCAGACGCACAACGTCATGGCAAAGCTGTCCAGGGTACCGTTGAGAAGTTGGTTCAGCGCCGCCATGGCGCCAGTGAAGCCAGGGAAGAAGATGTCCACTATGGAGACCTGAGTAGTACTCGAGTGGTGCATAGTGTCGATTTGAGAAGTGTCGAATGAAATGTGGGTAGTGATCAATGAACCAAGGGTAATGATAGTTCAGTATCAACTTATTGACCGATTTTGAACAGCAGTATAGCAAAAACAAGAGATGTATATAGAGTTGTGATTCGGAGAGTACTGTTGTACGGGCGTTCACCAGCCGAACTGGGCAAACGGCCGGTCTTTTATGTTTTGAGCTCTGCCTTGGGAACACATGACACGCCTCACCACGAAGCAGCTACAGGCCTAATCATAGGACTCGATGCAGCGTGCTGCCGTTGGGTCTGGCCACAGCATGTTGAAGGAGGCGTCATGCTAATTCTCTGCTATCGGAGAAGAGCTGGCACGACCGTGACTTGTTTTCGCCTGGTCGTTGATCTTTACCCCTGGGAAGCACAATCGGCATCCACAGCTTGTTCATTCGTCGCTTATCTTGGGCACGTTAGGAGTATGTGTATCGACGATGCTATGGCCGCCGTCCTGGTCGACGCAACATTGGCCCATTCTCACCATTGACATGCCTGTCTATGCTCACGCGTTCGAGCATTCACTGTGTCTAATTCAGCTCTATCCGAGAGGGGCAGGGGGTTCGGTCTGGACCTCGTATGTGACGCCTTATACAACTCCATATCTCTAGAGCGGTACGTTTATACCACCTCCTTGCGAACTTACCACAACGAATGGATGAATGGATGAATGAATGAATGAATGAATGAATGATGAAAGCGACCGGACCTTGTTGAGTTTTCGAAGTTTCCGTCAAAGGTTCGGGAGAAGTGAGGGCCTTGATTCATAGAAGCGCGCGAAAATGGACACTCTACATGCTTCAAACATCTGCGTGGTTGCGAATGGACCGCAAAATGCCGTGCTAGATTTTGAGTGGGGAGAAACGAGCTCCACCATGCACGAGTAGGCGAAGGAATGAGCTGTGGAATAGAAGGACGAATGCATGTATGAATACATAAATGCATTCGTGGGTAGATAGGTGGATGCATAGATGCCTGAACAGGCATCAAGGCGTAGCTATCAGAATGAATAGATGGATAAATACATGTGGGAAAAGATGGAGGGGTAGTGCCTCGGGCCTATGTATATCCGTCATAAAACCTTCAGGTTTTGGGAATGATCAGGTGTCAACGCGGGGTGAGCAAACCCAACCATACTACCTGCTTTCGAGAAAAACCTGGGTAAGCTGGCGCGCTCTCTTGAGTTTCGGAGGAGGGTTCTTGTCATGTGCTTTCATACTCTATCTAACTGCTTTCTTTGAAATAGTTTTTCGAGGTCCCCCTTCTGGCCTCTATCACCATCCAACGCAAGACTGGTAGCGAGAAACGTAAGACCTGCGACAAAACCACGACATCTCCTTGACGATCGATGGAATGAATAAAATTCGCATGAGGACTTCCTCAATCAGACAGCTTGTTAAAAGGTGTCAGAAAGCTGTAGGGCACGCTTTGGAGAGCAGAATGACAATCGCTGACTGGCTTGAAGACTGGGAAAAGGTGTTCTGGCCCCGAGGAATGGCCGGAGTTGCGGGACCTGGACATGCGCGAACCAAGTGCGGATACCGTTGCTCTGCTAGTCAACATGCATATCGAACCCGGAGAACAAAAAGCTGTTTACATTCACGACTCCAATGACGATCAGGTCGCCATGGTAGGTAGTGGCGACTATAAAGGGTATTCTGTCATAATACCGTGGCAGATTGGGCTGAAGTACGTTTGTTACGGATCATGTAAGATAGCCGAGGTAAAGGTAATCGAGGATACTTCTACATGAGTTGTTTCTTACTCTTTGTCAATCTCCAAGCAGCTTTTCCTGAAATCCTGAACGTGACGAATGAGGACGTTCCTTCATGCACAGGGATAGTCAACGTGCCTTCGCCTGAAAACATGTGGTCTGAAAGTAGACGGATGCCTTCCATCGCAGTCAACCCATACACTTTGCCATCGAGCCGAACTGAACCAGGTACATTAGAACCGCTAGCTAGAGGTCTTTTGTAGTGCCATACCTTCTTGAGTTCGTGCTGGTTCAGCAGATCTGACAGGAGCTAGAAGGGGGGATCTTCCTTCGTTATCACTTTCAAAGCTTTCGTCGCTGACCTCGCTATCATCGCTTTCGCCACTTCTGCTGCGTTCTGCCTCGCCGTCTCGACTACTGATTCCAGTGTCGCCGCTGGCTTGACGACTGATGTCAACTTCGCGGCCAGTGGCTGCGGCTGCACCAACCTTGGGTCCTTGAAGCTGCCGATTCTTTTCAGTGGCCAGTCGAGTAGAAGCAGTCTTATGTTGAATCGAAACATTCTGATGACGCCAACTGTCCTCAATTCGTGCACCCAAACGAAGTTGGTGACTCTCGTCGAACGCGTTGTCGAGGCATTCCTGGCGAAAATGAGGGACATTACCTTGATCTTCGCCTTGCTGGGATTGCGTGACCATCCTTCCAGCGAACATTAAGTCTTTGTAGTCTCCATCTAATCTGGCTCTTTTATGCCTACTCCCATGATCGTTTACGAGCTGTTGTGTACTCGGATGGGCTATGGACTGACGGCGTTTCTGAGGGAATGTTTGATCGGGGATTTTTTGAGATCGCTCTTTCGCGAGATGCTTCTCAACGACCGCCTGGGCTGTTTCCGTAAAAGCCGAAGAGATGTCGTGTTTTCCAGGCCATTCTGCCAAAGCTTCACTCAACTCTCGTCGCTCGGTGCAGAGTGCTGTTATAGAGGACGCAAACAAACATAGGTAGTAAGTTGGGTCGCCGAACTCCCGTCGTATAGTGGAGAGGCACTTCTGAGCTGATTTGTGTCGACTTCTCGTAGGTTGAGCAGCGGTTGGATGGTATGGTGGGTTACGAAGTAAGATGGCTGTACGCGTCAGTCTCTTGCTCAAGTCGTCATCGGATAGTCCGTGCGCGAACTCGTCCAGAAAAGTTGCAAGATTGTTGATATGTCTAGCCATGATACGGGCCCTAAAACGGCTACTAGTGAATGATAGATGAAGGAATGAATAAAGATTGAGCGTGAATGGATGGGCGGACATGAATGAATATATGAGGGGAAAGACCGCTCTTGGCTTCCATCAGCCCAGTTCCAGTTCGCTAGAGATAAGCCAGATCGAATCGAACTCACGAATCAGAGTTCTATCCCTAAGACCGCCGAAGGCCCTAATTCGTTGATTGGCTGACAACAGACCTTCTGGCACCTGGATCACACCAGAAGCGACGTACACCCTGCTGGTCTTGGGGCTTGGCCGGGCACATGCATGGCGCCACATACTGCATCTATTCATTCATCTTACATCCACTCGTCTCTCATTCATCTATTCCTCCCATGCTTTCCCTTCACCTGCCAGGGTGGTGTTAAAGGCAACACGAAGCATGGCTTCGCCGCGACCTCTTTTGTTACGACAACGCGCCACGCAGCACAGCGCGATCTTTCTTTTCTTTCCTTCACGTTACTCATTGTATCTAGACCTGACCCTAATGTTGACTAGAAGCCATATATAGCATTGCAGCTGCTTTATTGAATCAGCTGCGGGTGGTCGCATAACTGGTTATGGATGATCAAAGGCATACGCTTTGGCTCGTAATTTCAAAATGAGCGGATGAAGTAAGATGACTTTTCCAGAAATTACATTATCTTTGCAGAGGCCGCGATTCTATTGGCCTGGCCGATCTGTAGCTGTTAGAGGAAACTCGATTATCAATACGAGGCGCAACGCATAATCAGCAGAAGTCGTCGCCAAGGATAGAGAAACCATACAAGAGACTTACGACCTACAGTATCATTAGAACACAATAAGAGAGTCGAAGGAAACTAAATATCGATCGCTCATACTTCAATATTTAGCTCTGACCAAAAACTATCCGCGAGTCTCACGCGAATCTTCCTATGAAGATGCTTAGTAGCGGCTTACTGATAGATCATATGCACGCCACAGCCAAAGTTTAGGGTGATGTTTCATTCCGGCGGATGCGAGGTACAAGTATCTGATCTTACCCATCCCTGAGAGGGAATGATGAACAAGAGGGTGAAATGCTTGACCGAAGAATAGATGAATGCATGCATGGTTGTATGCTTTCAGCCTGCGTCAGGGACTCTGCTCGTCTTGGCCATGTGGGTTGATTCTCGGCAATCATTGATACAATCGAACCTAGACTTAGGTGAATTAAGCTACATACTCCACCGCCAATACCAGAAGTTCACCGTATAAGAATAGGAAGCTTTTCCGATGGCGTCTGCATAGATAATGTTGTGCTCCAGTGTTATTGGCGGAGGTTCAACCAGCAACAAATCGGCTGGACCATACTCGTTGTCTTCATCTTAACGCATCAGCATGGAGGCGCACTCCATTCATCTCTACAGAAGTGTCCGAGTGGCAGTGATACAGCCTGACGGAGCTTTGATGACAACGGAGGGCAAAGAACAGCAAATTCTATTCATTAAACAGGACGGAACATTCGATGGAACAGGCCATGTTGCTACCTGTATTATGCAACACGAAATGACCAGTATCCGAGCGGAAATCATTCGCTTTTCTGCCTATTCCGTATGTAACTACGTTTGGAGGTTGAACACCGATCATTTCAAATTGTAAGAATGCCATCGTAAGCTTCGACTTTGAGGATAAACCTGACAATCAGCAGACGAGTGAAGTTCACATCTCCATGGCAACCCTTTGCTCAGCTGAATTGGATCCCATCTCCAGAAGGGTACGGGTTAATAGCAACTGCCTCCTTCTCTCGTTTTCCCGGCGAGGTGGCCGTGCGGATGGGCCCATCTGGCCGGGCGGTAGGCACAGCTACTCAAACTCTCATCGCTGGCCACGGCTCGCCCATGACTTGTTCAATCAACATCGATATCTCGGAGGACGATTTGATCGTCATTTTCCAGCCAGACGATCCAACTTTAGCCCCCGTGCTGACCCAAATATTTACCAGACCGCCCTTCGGGTGGAATACAGAGACTGTCGAGTCGGATCCCTACTACACCAATGACTCTCTCAGCATGCCAGAACAAAACAATATGGTTTATGCACCTGAAGCAGAAAACCACAGTGGAATCTGCTTCCCATATTGCAGCAGCGTCATCTCTCCTTTTGAACCAGGACCCGGCCGGCAAAGTTGCGTTTCAGATCAATACCAATTGCCCTATGCAGATAAATCTAGTCCAGCTTCTGGATCGACACTCAGCATCGGCTCAGAAGATCAAAACAGTGCACAGTTCACCACCATCAACAGTGCTGGCACACACCATGATACTCTTGATGACCGTTGCATCGTCGTCAAACTGCTGCCGTAGACCAATGAGGGCCGGGGGGTGGGGGTTTGTTCAATGCAATATACTGATCGGTACAAATAACTGAGACGACAGTCATCATTTCGTCTAAAGCCCTTGGATGTATAAGGTGGGCGTCAAATATGAAGCCATTTCTGGCGCTCGGCTAAGCACACACTGGTTGCGCTGATAAAACGTTTCGAATGCAAGAGAAGCTACCCAGCCAAGAAGGCCAACATTTGTTTCAATGACACTATAGCTTCACATGGTTAGCTAATCAGACTATGAAGTAATTTATCCTGTCATCACGTACTAGAAAAAAGGCATTCACCGCCTGATTCTTCGACAGGTCCAAAATGATCGTAGCAGAAGCCCGGAGCAAGCTCAAGATGGCACTAAGATCGCCGTCCGGCACTGTCAGGCGAAGCCCACATATAGCCATTTCCAGCCTTTCTAAACCTCTTGACCTGAATCGAGGCTTTTCAACTCAGCCAATAGTTGGGGCCATCATCATCAGCGACTAAGTGGTGGAGGTTTTGACCGTGCTGCAGTCGGGTTGCGGAGGGCGGGGATGATGGGTAAAATGCGGGTACCCTCAGAGCTTCACAAAATGGAGCTATTCAGCATCCAATGGGATGCTCCCCACCGCGCAGCGTCCGGATTCGGTCCGCAGCGTGATGACAGCCGCGAAACAAGGTTTGCCCCACCGCACCCTCGTCATCGAATCATAGTCGAGCAGTGCGGTACTTCTTCCCTCGGCGTTGAGCATCCAAGCCCAGGAAAATGAATTCACTCAGGTGATTGCCTCTGAGATGCAGATCAAAGCAGCTGAGCGAACGGTCGCCGTGTCGGCAATATCCGTTATAGATGCCGTGATGGCCATTAGGCTGTGGCTTGGTCATCTTTCCTGTCCGCAACCTAGTTGGTTAGTTACATTGGAAGGTCGGCGATACGTAGCGACTCTCCATGCGTGACTATTCAGCTATCATGCCCCACATAAACCACGAAGTAGGCAATACTTGTTCACTATCTTCACAAAACCAAACTGATGCCATCACGCAAGCCTACCTATCTCTTCATACCTCACTCGCTAGTCCTAGCATTCGACCCGGCCGGAAAGACAGGGGGTGATAATCTAACAGGAGAATGTCTAGTTGTTACCCTTCGCTTCCGGCGATGACATTCCTCGTCCACAGTCTCCTCATCACTCTCGTGAACAAACGATCGCTTCCTGGTTGAGCAACGCCCTATAGCCCCGCTTCCGCTTGGCGTATATCGACCCGCCTGCTTTTTGTCTCCCGGTTCAGTAGGCATGCTTGCCCTTGTCGGAGGGCTGGATTCGTCCACTACTTCGACATAAGAGAGCTCCGGTGAGGAATGTGACGTGCAAGACGACGTGGCCTGTACCGGATAGGGGCTTGTAGTTGACCGAGAATCTTTCGACAATGGTGTGGCGGCAACGGCGGACAAACCGTCCGTCGGCCGCGGCGACGTGGGGTGTAGGCCAAATGACAATCTGGGGGTTGTTTGCGATTTTGGTGATGTGCTTGTCGATTTATGCGACCGTTTCGCGGAGCCCTCCCCTTTTTCTTCTATTGCCTCAGCTAACGTGACTGATTTTACATGCGCACCTATTGACGATGATGGCTGAAATTGGTGCTCCGAAGTTATCTCGTCCATATCGTGACAAACCGTTGCTCTCAGCGAAGGATGACTCCATGGTTCGTCCACTTGTTCGTCCGAGCTAGGTGAGGAGCATAACTCGGGGGGAAATGTGTTCTCGTATTCCCATGGATCGCCTCCATCCTCGAAAGCATCATCTCGCGCATCGCCATCGCGTCGGGCATCGGGTTCGTTTCCAATCGTGCTAGTAACGCCGGCAGTGGTGACGTGGATCAGCTGCTTATCCTCGGCCCTACTCCAACCGAAAACAACACCACACACAAACTGTATGAAGCTATCCATACTGCCAGTTTGGCCAATTTTGAGTGCCGCATCGCGGGTACTTGTAGACGAGAAGTGCTGTCGGAAATTGATGGATGAAAGGGCGATGTCGCGTACGAAATTGTCGAGATCTCGGCGGCGCTCTTCGTGCTTCGCGGCGAGCAGTTCCTCGAGGTGTCCACGATTCTCGGCGTGTTTTGCAGCAGCCATAATGTCGGCGAAATAGGCGTCCTCATCGAGGAGCGGGACTGCGATAGTATTGAACCGCCGCCAGTAGTCGCCCCATATCATTTTTGGATTGTGAAAGTCCGGCTTAGCTATTCGTCTCCAGGCCTTGTTCTTCTCGTATGTCATTTTCGGCGGCTGGAAAGCGGGCATTACGTGATTCTGTCTTGGGTGTTGACCGCGGTCGAATTGCCGGTCGGGCGATCGTGTTCGTCAGATGTACGGGCGGGTGGATGAAGTAGCTGGTAATGTGCAAAGTTCGATGCGTGTATTGACGTGGAAAGTGAATGTGTGGCGAGAAAGGACTCTGCGACAAGATGGATGGCCAGCTTGGAGGTTGGGCGGTGGAGAAGGTGTTATTGTTAAGATTGGGGATTTATTGTACACGAGGGATGACATGATCCAGTCATCAGCCAGCCTTGGCAGTAATTGCGACCCGTCCGATAAGCGAGCGCGCGCTCTTCTTGGGCGCAGGCGCTAAACTGTCGCTGCCTGTTCTGGTCCAATACAGGTGCGCAGGTACCTTGCCGGGCATTTCCCTCACAAGGCCTCGAGGACTACTTATAACACCCTACCTTGGCCTGTACCAGAGTTTTATAGAACTCCCCAAAGTTAAACTGCCTCACCTGCTCGCCTTCATTATCAGGATGAGTTCTCTCAATAGCGAATCAACTCAGGCTTTTAGCGACTCTGCTGATCTGCAGCGGCGCATAGACCAGATCAAGGCAGAATACCGAGAGAACAGCCAATTGGCTGGGCAGAGTGAGACCTGCACGGCAACGAGGTCAACAACATTACCAACCCCTGGCAGTCTTGAGCTCACCGAAATCATTGAGGCCTTTTCCAACGCATCCCTAGCCTCGTTGCCTGATGCTCGTCTTATTTTCGCCTGCCGCCGCCAACCGCGCAACACTGACTCTGCTATGATTCCTTTGCCGCACAAAGTTGGCGGGTGGAACATGGTCGGTGTGATACAGCGCACGCACGACGTGAACTTCACTCTGTGTGTTCCTCTCAACGACCCTCCCTGCGACCCGAGACCTACGCGGTTCATACCTTTACAAGTTCGATGCAGTGTTTACTACGATCCTGCCGACGACAGCTGCGTTCTGGTCAACAAATCGTGTGTAGATTTCTATCTCACCAGCTTATGTTCTCCAACGAGCCGCCGGCGCCTATCGTATGACCAGACCGAGGTGATCAAGCCCGGTATGTGGAGAATTTCGGTGGAGGTCAAAAACCTCACGACTGAGCAACATCTCGTCGACTTCTTGATGCAGCGGAGGCAATTCACCATCACTTTACTCGAAGGCCTGCCTAGCTATTCAGCTACCGCCAAGCGCCTTGCCTCCGGCGAGGAGCAACATGGTGCAAAGCGACGAAGACGGGAGAGGGCCGTGGCAGAAGTTGTTCTTGCCACGGCCACGGACTTACCACACAAATCAACTGACGCCGCCGTTACCAAAGCTGCTAAAGGCCTCGGTCCCGCCATTTCAACCTCGCGGAAGATTGCTCGAGCGGGCGGTACACCACTTCTAGACCTCTCGGATGGAGGAGTTGCCGTCGTCCGTTCTAAGCAGGTCAAGGACGACGAGGTCAGTTATCTGCCCCTGGACAGAGAGGCCGGCGGGATTTCTAGGTGCGGCAATCAGACCACCTACAGACTTCATCGGCTCAAGCGAATCGCTGATACGCTGTCTGCCAGTCTCTTCACTGGCCGCCACTCGGCATTATCGGAAAAGGTTGTGGCGAAGGTGATCAGGTACAAAGGCAAGACGGCCGAAGACCTGATAAAATGCGCATCGATCTGGAAACGAGAAAAGTCGTTCCTGGAAAAGCTACATCACGTATGTTTTTGCGCCCCGAAAACGTCCGGTATGTTCGACCTCTGCTAACGGCCATTAGCCAAACATAATCTCCCTGAAGGCCTTCGACGGCCGCGTCTTTGCCATGCTTGTCGAGCAGCTTCCCCCGTCCCTCCACCGCGGGTTCAGTTCGCCTTTCAAGACAAGCGACGCTCAAAGAATACTCCAGGGCACGTCATCCGCCCTCGCCTATCTTGCGGACCAACGGGTCATCCACAATGACATCAAACCAGCTAATATCGCCTATTCGCCTGAGCGCGGCGCTGTTCTTCTCGATTTCGGACTAGCTACGACGATCGATGAGAAGGAGCTGCCCGGTGGTACCCCTTGGTATGTCCCGCCTGATCTTATTGTGCAACGAACACGAGGGAGTCCGGGCGACGTATGGGCCTTGGGTGTCACAATGCTCTATGTACTGGGAAGTATCACTCTTCCGGAGAAGACAACAAGAGGTTGGCTCATCCGTAACGTGACAAATCGACGCGGGGAAGCTCGTGAGCGCTTGCTAGGCTGGCTCGATAATGTCGCTCGCGCTAGGGCCAAATTAGATCGGACTGATATGCTGGAAAATACCGTTTTCCGGATGCTCGAGCCCGGAATCGATTCTAGAATCCATGCCACACAGATCGCAGCCAGCCTTGAGGATTTGAAAGAAACCTTGGGCAGCAAACCTCACTTCTCAAACTTGCAACCGCACTCGGTCAGGGACAAGGAGAAACCATCTGAGAAGGGGGATCGCACAAAGAAGGAAAGCTCGGCGGACAACTTCTGACTAGGCAGCTTCTCTGACACATTTGGGGGCATTCCCATGTAACCGGGTAGTTTCGATCATTGCAATCGGCCGTGCCACCTTTCAACTTACGAAACAGAGGTACGAACCCTCGTCACTGCCCAGATTGAATCTCAAACTAGCAGGCGTCTGAGGTAAGGCCTTTTCCTGAGCCATGGTCTCTGACGAGATCTACAAAACCAGATAGTCCTCCGGGGCATTTCTTTCAGACATGGTGTCATGTCTTTATCACGCAAAGGGGTTCGCAAAAACACTTTATATACACTTCATCTAGTGAGCCGTCTCAGCGCAAGACCAGGCGGCGGACTTAGTAAGTACCACCATAGAGCAACCGTCCAATATTAGTATTTCGAGGAAAAAACATGTGCTTATAATCAGAAATACTGGGATTTGAGTAATAAGCAAAACCGCGTCTTCATTATGTGTGTATTATAAGTAACCGCGGTATACATGTATACAGAAGATGAAAAAGCTATGTCCCTACTACTGTAGGGAGAGACCGTTAAACAATAAGTGTCAGACTGCCTCAGCACATTTGCTACGGTAATTGTTTCACCTCGAGCGACCTGATTTGTGCTTAACCAGTGGTATGAGAAAGGCTAGCAAGGGTATCCTTATACAAGGGGATCGTACACTCATTATATAGATATGGGGTTCCTTTCCATAGCCATCCATTCGATATACTCATCAATACACAAAATGACCCCTGCCTGTCTGACTGCTGCTCGACAGTAAGTATCGTAATGACCCGGCTTAAAACGATTGCATCGACCGACATCCTTGCGACAAGCCAGCAGGGCAAGAGGTGGTGCCTCCGGGAGGGCGCAGTACGCGCTGCATTGAAGACAGTCCAAAGTGATATCCCGGCGGTAGCTGATCTTAGCCTGCTCGAAATCCACTACCGCGATACAACTACAACTCACTGTGTCACGCAAGGCACTACGTAGCTTCGCATCGCGGTGAACGTCCCGCAGCTTATGCGTTTTCTTTTACGCTTGGGTAACTGCGTCGACCTTGGCGGCTTCATTGGCGATGTAGAATATTACGGCGGCACCTTTCTGAGAAGGCGTCTCTTCAGGTGAAGCAACCCCCCTCTGAACTTCCTTACGAGGGAAGCACTCATACAGCTCTGCGGATCATCCGATTGGACACCCATAGCAGGGGCGGACCGCGTCAAGCCCTGCGTGTTGGTCACATTGCATCCGACCTTTCTACTGGCTGAGGGCGGTCGTAGTTCCCCGGGTTCTGTACCCATTGTGGCTCGTCAAATTCTCGGCTAGCTACCATCTGATCCACGGACGCAACGATGTGGCTGCCTCTTGCCGCCACGGTGACTGGCATCCACATCGATGTCACTGTTGGTCGAGCCTTCACAGCAGCAACCAATAAGTCGAATGATCGGTAAGCTACAAACAGACAACCATTTGGCAGCGGAGTCTCGATTGCGCCGTACTTGAGCGAATCGTATTGTTCAGTTTTGACTCCTCTAGTATTGCTTATTTCTGGCTAACGTCCTATGATTTTGACCATGTCGAGCACCCAAACTCGACTGTAGCAGTCGGGCTGCATGGCCCAGACCTTTTGCTAGCGTGCTGAAAAGAGCCAATATGGAGAGCGTAGCCGCCATTACTTCCGATGCACCGTTTTGTTTGTGCACCGGCAATCTACCCCGCACTTTACCCCACTTCTTGAGATTCTACGTAAGCAGCTTTACCTCTGCGGACTTCTGCTTATGCAGTATTTTTTAGAGCGAAAACGCGCGGAAGTGTATTTGTTAAAGGAGGATGGAGCTGACGCGGCTCACCTCAAAGCACAAATTTGCGGAAATGGGTTGGGTAGGGGGTCTGCGTTTCTCAAGTGAACCTCAAGCGGAGATAAGCGCATAACACTCTGTAGACGAATCACCAGAAGTGAGCCATAGAGAACTGTCGTAGCATCAGGTTCGGTATCTTGGATCATTGAATCACCAAGAACAAAAAGATAGCCGGGCTACAGTCGGTACCTCCGGTCCACTGCTAACGGAGTACCCGCATCGCGCCAATTCGGATATCCTCGGCAAATGCGTGGCCGTTTGTTTGACCAACATTAGTGCGAAGGTCTCCGACACCCTTCCCACTCGACCGTAATCATCTCCACTTCTAGGCGGTGCGTAACAACCTGAACAGCATGTCGATCAAGGCAAGCCTGGGTTCGGTGTAGGTTCCGCATGTGCGTACAAGCAGCCTCAGTGACCTGTCTACGCTCAAAGATGATAACAATCTAATGCATTTTCTGCCCGGTTCAGAGCCAACTTGGAGATTTTCCAGGTTGAGGAAGGTATCAAAGATGTGCTATTGGTACACGATAAGTGATCAAATGCAGCTGTGTGATGTCCACAGGAATATGGGGCATGAGAAGGCGGTTCTGTGGACTTGAAATCCAAGTATTCGCCTCAAGCCAGTTGAACCTCCATCAGAGCACCTGCTCCGGTGCATGCCTCTTACTGAGTCGGGGCTGCTGGAAGTGACGTGCTAGGTTTCCAAAGGGTCTCGCCTATGGCCGTATGCACCCTTGCACATTGTCATGTAGCTGCGGTCCACTAATAGGCCGCTGGTGCCTTTGATTGATCGCCCAGACGCCTGTTAGAGCACAAATTCAGGAGGTAGTGCTATGAAAACGTTTCATTGGAGTGCCTCACTTCCTATCTCACATGTAGGGCAATGGTGGCATGATCTATTCCTAACTTGTCTTTTAGCGAAGAAAATCAAGTATTTTGGTTAAGCCTTGTGCATCGCCTGCCATCGTCCCAGCTTTCTCCTGGTCTACCCATCCAGGTGTGTAACTGCCCCCAAAGTCGATAATCCAGGCATTGTCATCCTGATCGATCAGGACATTTTCAGCCTTCGCGTCGCCCCAGACGATGCCTTTGCAGTGTAGCTGCTTCAGAGATGTACTGATCTGCGTCCTCCAACGTTTCCTGATCTCGGATGTACTCTGGTTTGCTCTTGCTCTTGACAGCACTCCTTTCTTCTCGATCCAATTGAACAGCATGCCCATCAAGTTGTTCCCGTCTCGAACAATGCCGTGTAGGCGACAGATCCATGCATCAGGGGCAGGAGGTATCTGCGCCGTAGCAATTTCGTTCAATCTCGCGAGTTCGCTCCTGGCATGCGCTTGACCGAATGAGAGTCCAAAGTGTTTGAAGTAACACATGATCTTATCGCCATTTTCCGCATCAACAAGAACCTTAGTCGGTCGTCTTATCAAGACATCTTCGGGGCGATCGTACAGTATCTCTACATCAGAGGGATCGTAGGACCGAGCCCACTGATCGAGATTCCCAAGCAACTCATCGTCAGCAACCACAACGGGGCTGCACCAGCCATGATTCTGATTCTCTGCCTGATACGGGTGTGGGACATCGTCGGTGGCATCCAAACCGCAAACGATGTGCGGGGGGAAAAGATACTGGGATAGAGTTGGCAGACTACCGTTAGGAAGCACTGGAGACGGCGGCGCCAGCTGGGTGATGAGAGGCTCGAACATTCTGGACAGCCAGTCGCAAGCATCTTCAACATAGAAATCATCCTGCTCGTCTTCCCCAGACCGCAGCAGTTCGAGGCATTTGAAGTACTGCTCTGTGATTCTGGGCGACCGATAAAATTGCGACGGGGAGATTGTGCAATAAAAGGCTCGTCCGTTGTTGGTTCGAATGATGAGGTCGCAATCGTCTTCCGTTTCGTGTACCTGCCAAAGAGCAACGTCATATCGTAGTAGGTTCTTCATGGCGATTGTTCTCCTGACTTGCGGTGAACTCAAGACGAAAGAAGTAGGTTAAATAGAAAACGCAGGTAATTGAGGGGATCCAGCATCAGTGCTTCCGTTCTTGGTGCGTTTATCTGCAAAGAAAACTGCATGTTGGTGGTCCGTGCACGAAATCTGATGCATCATTTACTGAAATGTCCGCAGCGGCACCGTACGCGAGCAAATGTGTGTTCGTGACAGCGGCGCAGCAATAGAAGCACAGTGGTCCTGGGCGTCTCGCCGACCCCAATTGTGACCACTTCGCTTTATGTCGGCGTATCGCTTTTCGTCATTCGACATGTGAGCGTCTGTCCATACAATGGGCTTGATCTGCCCTGTCTCCTTTTGTATATGACCCTATGATCCCCCCAGCACTAGTGATGATGAATGGTGCTAACTTAGCATGCCCGCTCACCAGATCTACTTCGTCTCCAAGCTATCAGTAACTACGCCATTAAAGTTAGGTCCCAATACGGCAGATATGTGTCAAGCGTGGAGGTACACCTTCACATGCGGACACCAGAGCGGAGAGAAGTGGTACGACCCTGAGAACGCCGAGGATTGCCCAGAGGCGGTGCGTGCCAATCGTCGTCACAGGCAATATGGAACGCTATTGCGCTGTAGCCCCTTATCGACTGCATCCGTGTCGACGCAAGGTGTTTGTTCGAGGGACAAATGCTATGCCAAGGAGTACCTCATACCCTACGGTTGGTGGTGTCATTATTGTGGTTACATGAACAATGCAGGGGTAAAGCATTGTGCAAATCCTCAGGCCGGTCTCAATCAAGGGCCATGCCGGCACAACCCTTGTCATCACTGTCAAGTAGATGACCCTGCCCAATAATAATCAGCAAACTATCTTGATAACATCACGGTCAGTACATCAGAGAGAGTTGGCAGCTCGAAACGGATGCTATTCTGGAAAATTCCCCTAGTCTAACCTATCAAAGATAGATAGCACACGCTTGCCAAATGCCTTCCGTCTCCTGTCGCGCAAGTCTGAGCCTTCGCCATTTAGACTCTGCGTGCCGAGCCGCCAAGTCCATCCCAGCATAACGCGGCTTCAGGCCTCGACAGCTAGGCTATCATTGACTAAGACGTCGTCCTTAAGGATATCCTCGAATCTGGACGTAACGAAACCGCTACCTTTCCCTACAAAACTCTCTCCAAAACCCAACGTTACCAAAGCTTCAAGCGCTCGCCAATTCAGTCACGCCCTCTCTGCCAGCAACTCGACTTCAACATTAATTGCCGAGACAACAGCAACATTGAAATGGAAAAATAAATGGACGCCTCATAGACGCATATTGCTCATGGCGGATGAAAGAGTGATTCCAGTCGTCGTGAATAAGTGGGCAACCTGTCGTCCTATCAATCTAGAAATAGTTCCATTACGAAAGGCCATCTAGTACGAAACAAGTCAGACATCAAGACGGTGAACGCTGCAATTGCGGTCATTTAGTGTCGCCACATTGGACGACAGCGTCTCGTGTTGAGACAATCTTATCGCGGCTAGATTCCGGGTAGATGGCTCTGCCCCGCTTATCAATATCCCCAGTAGTAATCCTCCACTCTCCCTGCAGGGACCTTGATGAAGATGAAACCTGGCAGATGAACGAAGTGGTGGGAATAACCAAAATAGACGACCCCTTACCGTTGACCATTACTTCCTACTATACAACTACCCCTCAATGTTCTCGTCCTTTCATGCGTCGAAATCTGTCTTTCCGTCGCTATCCCGGACGTTTGAAGACACGTGAGCTGGGAGAGACTAGTTCTTTGGAGCCCTCAAGCAGTACATCTCACATCGTACAGACCACATTGAGGACGGCCTCCTGCTGTGTAGCTTTGATGTATCTCGACATGTGACACGCCACGGAGTCTAGTTCTTTCGCGAGTGACTGCGTCAGTGTCTGTATTGGTGCCCGGTTGGTGCAGTCAAACAGAGGCATTCCGACCCGACTGAGAAACAAGACATGCTTGTATACGCCACTGTCATATTACAACGGCAGGGTTGATCTGCCCGTCCCAAGCAGACGGGAAGATGGCGGCGATGGAAACAAGGGTCTCGAAGCGAACGAGCGGGAATATGAGACTTGATCCCACATCTTCTCTTGCCTCGGCGCGAAGTCATCCTATGGGACGATTCGTCGAAGAGAAAATCCAGCCGGTCGGGTTGATCGTATCGGCTTGCGTAGTTAAGGTGTGATCGGTCACCACCTGAATGGCGAGGCTGAGCGAGTAACAAGATGCGAGATACTTTTGAAGGGTCTGTGGTTGTGGATGAAGACTTTGCTCCTGTGATTTCCGTTTTGCTTGTCTGCCTGGGCCATTTCGAGGTTCAAGACGATACCTTGCAGCTCTCCTGCGTAGACTGTTGATGTTGTATCGTCGCCCATGTGGGTTTTGCTGGTTTGCTACGTGGTTGCGCAGACCGCGGCGGCTCCGATGTGACCGTCGATGCCGCTGCCGTCCGTGTAGATGTGCATTGCGTCGGTGTTTTGTTCCAGACATCGTTGATGTTCCTTCTCAGCCTGCTTCGTATCTTCGCCGATATGGATGCGCGGAATCTGCCACCATGGGGGAGCCACGAAGGACGGTATGCGTTCGTCCTGCTCGCTGTGGGTGCCTTGACCATCGCGCAGTCGTTTGGTATCGTTTGTCTTGGACTCGTTTTCTTTCCTCTCCGGGAAGGACTTCGACCCTGCCTATTCTGGTAATGGTGTCGATGTTGTGTTTCCATATTTGTTGTTCGACTGACAAGAGATGCATACTTATATGCACTGGCTGCTCTGGCTTGAAGCTTTTGCAGCCTATTGAGTGTCCTCTTGATGTAGCCTTTCTCTCCCCATCCACTGTTGGACCACAGCGAGCACTCGTACATCATTTGCGGTATGGCGACTCCTCGTCGACGCGTTGTTTCCACTTGAGGACTGACTCCCTGATGAGGCCGAGGTATCTACAGGTTGCCGTGGGCTCGATTTCTCCCCATGGGCTCTAGAGTGTCATGTCTGTGTCGAATCTGATTTTCGGTCGTGTGAGATGAGCAAGCTGGAACTTTTCGGGTGCGAAGATAGAGGCATGGGTGATGGCCAATGTCTCAGCTTTCTGAAGCGCTGCTTGGGGTTTCTGGCAGGTTTCCTCAGTGATATCCCCCCGCTGCGAGGATCGCTACGTCAACAATGAAGCCGGTGGCTGTCTTGTCTTCGGCTTCGTTGCAACTGTCCAAGAGATCTTCGTTGTAGAAGAGGAAGAGTATTGGCGATAGGGGAGATCCTCGTGGGATGCCGGTATTGATTCTGCAAGTTTCGGATCGGAATCCGTCTACGTCGATCTCGGTCTCGGCATCCGAGGAAACTGGCAACTCAACGCACCGATGGTTCGTCGAACCGCCTCTTCTCAAATAAGTGCTGCGCTTCCAGAGACTGTGGTCGTAGTTCTGCGAGTTCATCTTGAATTGTGACTCGGGAGATGTGTGAAAGAAGCAAAGCGGCCAATGAAATCGATACTTGTGGTGCGACAATCTGAATTGTCTAGGTGGATATCGTGAGTGTTTGATCCATGTCACCTCAAGAACAATCCCGCCGTAAACTCAAAATCACGTATGAAGAAATTGCCAGCTGACTAAACCTGTCCCTTACCTCGGCTCCCAATAGGTTCACGGGTCCGTACACTCACGGGTCCCCCATTAGTCAGCAACATCCACTGTATCTTGCCGTCTCAGCAGGGGCTGGGGCGGTGTCGTTGGGGACATGATTTTGCACTCCTTGTGTGGCCTTCTAAATGGCATTTACTGCATGTAGGTAGTCGTTTCTCCCCCTTGCTTTCCAACCCGTCCAAAGGCCCATGTTGAGGCTTATTTCGAGGGCCTCGAAGCTCGTTTTGCGTTTGGTCCCGCGCCACTTCCCGCTGCCGATCTTGAGATTCATGAATGTCTAGGAAGTCGAGATCGTCTTGAGACTTGCAGTTGTCTTTAGTGTCGTGGTTGTGTTGAGAGAATCTGGCTTCCCGGTGTTTGAGAAGCCAATTCTCGCTCCAATCTTCCTTGCCTATTACCGAGAATTGGCAACCAGAACGGAATCGATTGCATGAGTAGGTGATTGTTGATCGGCCAGACCTCCCGGCAGTCGATCTTCGCACAATGAATTTATAGCCTCTGATTACTGCCCAGATATGTAGACTGACCAACAATTCTTCATGTGATGAGTAACACGCTTGAGGGGGAAGGTCGTTGAAATGCATCGGTAGAGATATGATGGTGGCCACCTTGTGATTCTTTGTTGATCAGTGTTGAGACGGCCAAATGCAGTGGACGTTGCTGACTAATGGGGGACCCGTGAGTGTACGGACCCGTGAACCTATTGGGAGCCCCTTACCTCGAGCGGCTGATATCATCGACTGCGCCGACAATTTTGCATTTGTGGGATACGGTTCTGCGGAAATCTCCGTGGCAGTGTAACATCAGAAGTTCGCCTGGCGAAACATAAACCTGTTATTGACTTGTCACGGTCAAGTCCTACTGTTTTTCCGCTGGAACCTGCAGGTCAGGAGACAACAAAGCCGGCGTATTCAAATGCACAGAAACCACGAGATCCGGCTGTCCTCTCAATGAGAAATGGGACAATTGTATCCATTTCAGTTATCCAAAAGACAATACAGCATACCCCTGAGACGATGTCTCCCTCACATCTTGCCCAGTTCCTCTTCTCTTTTCCTCATAATAGACCAGTGCTGAAAGGCACCCTGCTCGCTTCGCTGCAATTGACCAGCAATCCACGACCACTCCTTTTCCTCTTGAACCCATGCGCGCAGGCGTAATTCGTCTAAGGGTGTCCAACGAAGACGCTTAGGTCTCTTGCTCCTTTGCTTAGGAATATCAGGGCTGTCACTACGACTGAAACCCACACTTTCGTCTTCGCTGTCGCTGTCTTCAGAGTTGCCATCTGAGCTATCGTCATCTTTGACTGTCTCGGAGTTTGGTAGCCCCACAGTTGCCTCCCGTATCTGTTCTTGATTTGTCCCATTGAAGGGATCGCTATTTCCCGTGATTATTGCCTTATGTGGAAGTCTCTTTGTAGCGTGATCTCTGACGAACCCGAGAAACAGCCGAAGAATGTCTGATTCCCTTGCATTGCCAGACAGCTCAGCACCACTTCGAGTGAGAGCCTCGACGGTATCGCTTATCTGCAGCAAATGCTCTGCAGAGAAGCCACAGGTGTGACATGTGGCTGAGGATGAATTCACTGTGGTGGCGGCAGGAGGGAGGCAATCTCGTCCATTCTTTTGAGGATTAGGCTTTCCTGAAGAATGGTTGGAATGAGATGAACGCGGCGAAGTTACCTGGGGTATACTTTGCGGTCGCCCCCGCCGTGTTCTCGTCCGCTTCCCTCTATTTGACGCATTATCCACGTCCAGTGAGGGAAGCCCATCAAGTTGAGGTTGGGCATCTTGACAACTCACGGCGCCAGAGGCGTGAGACCATGGCTTTGATCTTGAGGAGCGCCGGATATGTCTTTCGCACTGGGCTGGAACGCACCTCCTGCCTGGCTTCTCTGCCAAGACTCGAGAAGGTCGTGCGCGCAAAGTCCTCACAGAAAGAGCATTTGTTGCAGTCGTCTCATTGGGATTTCGTGATCTCTTTCGCTTAGGAAGGCAAAGGTCGTCGCTCTCATGTCCTTCTTCGCATGCCTCGTGATCTCGTTTTCTCTGACTGGTGATGACGTCACCGCCTTGCTGTGAGACGAAGGGGTGATCTGAGGATGGGGTAGGAAGCGCAAAAATGTCTGGTTGAATTTCTTCCGCTATTTCCAGTGAAACGGCGACATCATCGACGGAGAAATTGGAAACAGAACTTGGTGCGTATAGTGGGCTCTTCGCGGGGTCGGGCGCCGCCGACTTGCTTGTTGAGAAGGTCCTCGGCCGGTGTCGATTTGTAAATTGAGGTCCCCGAACCGCTCCGTCCGGAAGAAAGCTCTCGCGATCGGTGTCGTCATCATCGGAGCTCCCGTCGTCGTCGTTGACTGAGCCATCATCATCAATGCTTTCGCAGGTGTCGCCGTTTTCGCTCCTCGCCTTGTCTTGGGTAATGCCTTTGAGAGTTCCTGTCAGTTTGGGATGTCGTCTTGCGTATTGATCTTGTTCACTCACATTCGTTCACGTCATTTGGAACACAACCTGCTAGGCGGAGTTGCCCGGTCGAAGATCTCACTGAATCGAGAGCCAGCGGCTGCTTGTTCTGTGAAGAGGCAATTGCGACTTGCGGTTCGGTTATTTCTGTAGGTGGCTGGAGAAGTACAGAGGCACAAGGCGACCAGTGTTCCGAAAGCTTGATTCCATCGTGTGTGGTGTATTTGTCGGTTTCCGCTGCAGAACCATTGATCTCGGAGATCGAGGCAAAACGTCGCGTTACATGTGCGAGATCGCCCGTAGCATGGCCATCGTATGACTCGGCTGTCGCGAGAGCCTCAATGAGATCGAGATTTGGTTCGTCGATGCTAAGAGGGAAGTCCAGAGGACCATCTGCTTATTGTAAGTCAATGCATCGAAGAATATGATGCGAGCGTACCCGACGTATAGCTAGAGGTCTGATTCTCTGCCACAATAGAGCCCCTGATATCTCGCTCGAGTGACGTTGCCAGTGCCGATGGTTTGAGTGTTGATGTTTGCTGTTGCTTTCGCTGTTCCTCGCGCTTGCGTTGACGTTTCTTTTCTTCACGCTCCATCTGTCTACGCTCATTTTCTTGATAGAACTTGGCGTATGACTGCACGTCATGCGTCCTTTTGAAGTGAGGTTGAGCCATGTCGGCGAAAGAGAATAACTGAGTTGAGTCTGAGGAGTATGGAATCAGACCGCTGTCGTAATCGTTGGGAGCCAGGTTTATATACGTTGTTTTCCAGGCGAACGAGCCAGTCGCACAACACAACGCTCGGTTCAAGCCACCACCTCCTCAAACTATGGAGGAGCTTGCAGCTTCCACATTCGGAGTGGGAATGGAAAAGAACCTCTCGCCGGTAGTCAGACCGCTTCATGGCGCGTGTGAACCCCTGATGGCGCGTACTTTTCACTCTGGACCTCGGAGATGCCCCTGAAGCGCTGGCGGCGTTCTTCCCCTTTCAGAATAGTCGTGACAAAACAACTGCCGAGCTTATCATGGCCATTGACGCAGTAACCTGCAGCTCTGAAGCCCTGGCCAAGCCCGTAAGCCACGTCACCATATTGATGAAGGCCAGGGCCATCTCACCCGCCAGGACCGCTCCTGGCGCCGTGAATCGTAGTTGTCGGACGGAGGAAAACCAGCCGTCTGCACCAAATCTCGGACTTCTGGTTGCACCGGCTAAGGCCTGTCCAGCTGAGACTGACCTTCCACCGAGCCTGTCCAGCCTTTCAGCCGGCATAAAGTCTGGCCCCCTGGTTAGCGAGAGAGGTCACCTGCTCTCTCTCCTGAAGGTAGCCCCTTGATTGTGCAGGATCAACCGCACGATCCGTCAGGATACTACCTTAGACGCATGATGTGTTCAAGCTGTCAGGATGGGGCAGGACTGGCGGCGGAGGTGTCGATCATCTTGGGAATGTTATGCTGGCGCGCCGAGCTGTGCTCAGCCTTCCGATACCTTCCGTCTCGTATATGCGACGTGATTGATGATCGCAACATTTTGTGGAGGGCAAACCAGGCACACCAAAATGGTCGGCACCGCCGAGGGGAAATTTGCCCCTTCGAGCAATTTCGTTGACTCCGGAAGCCGCTCAGTAGCTATTAGGTACGCCTCGGTGAGGTCTAGCCGTGCGTCTTTCTCGACTCCAACGTACGAACATCCAGGTTCAAGGGCCGACATTCTGCCCATGGCATGCAAGAATGCCAACGGGGCAATCTCGTCGACGAGCCCTCGCTTCTCATCTTCAGAGACTCTACGCGGAGAATGATCCCGTCCGTTGGTAGATAGCAGCGCCATGACCAGCTCCGCCATTGTTTGCGGCGACCCCGAATTGCTGTACTCTGGCAGAGATTTCGAGAAGCCAGCAGGAGCTGACTCTCGGGGTCTCGGTAAGAAGCTTTCTCGCGAGCCATATCCCAGCTCAGCGGCGCCGAGCCCCTGAGTAGCAGGCCATCTCAAGGGTGTGATAGTCAGGTCAGTGTCCACCGGCGTAGTCGCAGTGCGTACATGTCTTGGCTAGCATACTTTCCTCGTACATACGACGGCGTCATCGGCGGGAGCACTATGCCCAGGTGTAGGAATGCCGAACATCCAGGCTGCCGTTGAGACGTGAATTACCCAATAGGGAAATTCTGTCAGCGTAAGCGATAGTTTCTCCTATCAGACTCCAGCCCGTCATGACTTGACTGGTAGCCCGGCCAGACGCCAATCTCCGCGATATGCGGTGTCGCCCTTTTCGGCAATGCTTGACTGTTGACCAAGGTTGGAGGCCAGAAAATTACCAAAGACGGCAATCTCTCGGTCACGCCCTGCGTTCTTTCGTCCGAGGATGGACCGCCAGGGGTATTCCCGCGGGCGCTCGTTGATGCCTGGCATAACACGTCGAACACCCGCAGCATCTTATGGACCCCGCTGAGCTGTCAAATTACCAGAAGCGGTAATTTTGGGTGTGAGGAACGCGGCGAGTCACCTGCGGCTTGCGGCCGCAACGAAGTAATTGCGGAAACTTGGAGTAGTGTGTCGAGCCAGTAGTGACCAGCGGTGTGATCCTGCGCCTTATCCCATGACCCCCTCGCCTTCTTGCATTACTCTCAAGGGTAATTTTGGGTCGAGAATGAGGCGAGAGGAAAGGGAAGGCGAGGCAGAATGCGAGGCGAATGGCAAGGGTAGCCCTCGAGAATCGGCAACGGGGTTGCGAGGCGTTCCATCGCACGATCAGACATTTTCGACATCGACTGCAATCGAGATCGGCAAGGTGCAAGGCAGCAGACGGCGGTGAAGAGATTACCACAAACGGCAATCAACTGAGGAAGTTAGCAATGCAATTCCAGCAAGAGAACATCGGAACGTGCTGTGCAAGGCGCGCTGTACTTAGCATAGGCAGTACGAGTGCAGGTAACTAGACACAGATACCTTTGCCATCCAAGTACCGGGTTAAGCCAATGTATGCTCAAGCCGTGGTTTCTCGTACGGTTGATAATCGCGAGCGGGAGTTGAATGGATGTTGACGATGCGTGAACATCGCAGAGACCAGGGATGTGGCTGAGGTCGGCGAAATAGCGAAGTGGCGCAAACAAGTGCTGTGAGAAGGAAAGGATACAAAGGAAACTTGGAGGTACTTTGGCGCGTTGGGCGGGGCAGTCGCTCATTTATGGGCTGGCAAAAACGGCGAGGGATGGCGTGGCCGAGAATTACCCGATGTGGCAGGTGCCGAAAATGGCATGTCAGGACCGCCATTTCCGAAGGCAGGCAAGCCGTCTCTTGTTTTACTCTATTAATCTGATTTTGGTTCTATGGTATGAAGTCCTTTACGGTTATTATTATTATGAGTATTTTATGGGCCTTTTGCCTTACCCCTTAGGTTAGTAGAATACCTTAGTAGTGGAGGAATCTATTTACTTTCTTAACGATATTAGGATTAATACTAGTAAACTATTTATCTTTCTAGTTACTTAGGTCGTTTATAACTTTATAGAATAGGGGTTGCCCTTTAAGCCCCTTGCAGGCGTATATCTTTATAATAAAGATTAATGCTATATTAATTTACTTGCTATTAGGGTGGTTTAAGTCTCGATATAACTATTTCCTTTAATACTCCGGATTAATTTTAATTTAAATTTTTAGGATAGGAGTCCTTCTATACGTTCTGTATGCTGACTTACCCCCTATCGTCCTTTAGTTTATGCTTCTATTTATAGGGGCCGGTATATTTGATCTTAATAGGGATATATTAGATCTGCTTATTAATCGTGGTAGTAGTATATTATCGTTGCTCGCCGTGTTTATTAGGGTCTAGGAGCTTCCTACGGCCTTTAACTTTTTTGCAACGAGCCTTATTATTATCTATTTTTAGTCTTTTGAATTAGCCGCTATGTTTTTTATTGACGGTTTTTTTTTCCTATAGCGTACTTTATTATATAAAAGCGGTCTTTTAATAGCCCTCTTTTTATATTCTCTTTTTAAATGTCTTTTTAGCTTTTTCCCGTACTAATTAGGGTAATAGGCTTTTTCTTTACCTTTATAGCTTAGCGAGGATATATAGTTTAAAGAATTAGGTACTTTATACTCTTTTACGAGGTAAGCGTTGTAATATTTCTAAATCCCTTCTTTCCTCGTCTTAATTCTACCTAGCTTTTATTCTTTTAAAATAGCCGAGGGGTAGTAGGTATAGGTAAGAAGGGGAAGCTTGACCTTGGAATCTCGAAGTCGGTCTTAATAATAGTAATATCGCTATCGATCTTAGTAGTTTCTTCGGATTTAATTAAGAAATATGCCTAGAGTTACCAGTAGGGTTTAGTTCCTACCTAAATACCTTATTATTTTAAAAGTTTATTTCTATAGTCCTAAAGTACCTTTTTATATTCTCTAATTAGGCCTATTTTATTATATAGTCGAGATTTATAGTGGATTTGCTAATCTAGCGAATCTAGTGATTTTATTTATTTTTCTTTATTAATATATAGGCTACCCGTAGATTATTAAGTAGGATAAATCGTATAAGGGCGACGTAGGTAGCTTAGTCGCCTTTTTACGATTTTTTTAATTACGGTTTATTTTTAACGTAATAGACGTCGACCTTTTATAGGTAGTTAAGGGCTGCGATTTTTCTATTTTATTCTATTATAGAGATTTGCGTCTTATTGCCTGTTTTTTATCGGGTAGGTAGTACGATTCTTTTATTGCGTTCTGTTTAAGGAGGTCGTCTTTTCTGTTTGCGAGATGCCTTACTAATTTGTGATAGTGGGATTTAACTATTGATTAGTGTTGGTATTTTTATTATAGGGATGGTTTGAATTGTAGGTAACGAAGAGGTTAAAATCTATATATATTTAATTTTTGCGTAAGGTGTAAAAAGGAGGTTTTAACCGGAGGTTGGGTAGACCGTAGATTTTGTAAGTATGGTCTGTAAGTGGCCCCTGCGCGGGCCCCTTGCCTTGAGGTCGAATTGGACTTCTAATCCGATACTTAGTGAGTACCCGAGTTCGTATCCTAGTATAAGCACCAGAGATGTAGCCCCCACCGGGGGGTGAACTCTTTTTGGTCTAGTTTGATGATTTTGAGTGGTCTTTGGTTCATTTTAACGCTTATTGAATAATGTCCAACTGATTTGGCTCGTATACGGGCAGACGAGACAACCCCGAACTGTTCACGAGGTTGCCTGCTAATATCACTGTTGTCGCTTAGGTATTTGAGCAGCGTCACCCCGCCCTCCACCTGATCCATGGTACTTCCAGGCATGTCGCCTTACACTCCTCTGATATTGAAACAACAAGGCCAACCGGTCTAGAAGGATCTTTGGACAGGGGCACTTTAGCTACGCTCACACTTCTCCTCCCGATATTCGACAATGCCTGGCTGAGAGCGACGCTCTGCTCAGAGTCTCCTTCGTATCATCACAGATCCAGAATATGTGTACTTGTTGTGTTCTTTATTTTCCGGCCAAGTAAGCAGCCATGAGGCATGCCAATGCTCACATACATATCTGACTACCACCTCTCTCCTCTCTGTTCCACAACTCCATAGAAGGGGGTTTTGGGGTAATAAATAAAAAAAGAGCCGAGCCACACCACATTCCAGCCTCACGCCCGAGGCCTTTCAACACTCTCAAACACCGAATTGGCATAAAGATAGAAAATAATGCGGACGGAGAATATTGCCCCCTTGTGATAGACCACTCCAGTCCCCTTTTCCCAATCAAAAAACAGAATCAGATCCCAATCCATTGCTCTGTACAGTAAGTTGAACAACAAAGTAGCAACGAGAACGACGTAGTGTGGAAAGAAGGCCGCCCCGTGCCTTACGCAACACGAACAAACGGAGCTGGGCCAAAT